AACCCACGGGCCCGCTTGTACAAGATCTTCCGGAGGAACAAGGACGTGGACAAGATCCAGAACGAAGTGGGCACGAAGACAGGGGCAAAAGGATCGGTGAGTGAAGCGGCGGCTCCGCTGGTGAAGGAGATCATGGAGGGTGCACAGGCGGACTTCGCAGGTGCCCAGGAGCAGCCCAGGGACACAAAGGAAAAAAAGGAGAAAGAAGAGAAGAAGGCTCATGCATTATACTAAATGATTTCCTGCCATCGAAAATCGTGTATGCAGACGGTTGTGTTCTTACTGCAGGTCGATCCGGAGGTGCAGGCGAGAAAGGAAATGGAGAAGGATATCGCCGCCATCAACAAGCTGGCATCCGATGCCAGGTTGATGGGAATGGCCCTGACAGAGTGGGATGTGCCACACGTGGAGGCTCTGCAAGGAAACTTGCAGAAGCACGTTCAAGTCTTGAAGACGATCCGCGAAGGGATTGATGATAAAGTTTTTCACGGATCGCTGGGTTCTTATATCTGTGGCTTTTCCAATGTGTGTGCACATGTATGTGTGAATGTGACCTGCATGTGCAGACTTTGATTGTGTGTGCGGACAAACCATATTGCATATGCTATGCAAAATAGAAGGCGCCCCCACCCTGTAATAGCGGTATTATAATAGGAATTAATATTGAATAGGACCCATTATAATATAGTCCTATATAGTCACTATTACAGGGTGGGGGGGCCTTCTAATACGCAAACCCCTTCTCTCAATCTGTACAACCTCATAAGCCCTGAGCCTGAAGCTGCAACCCCGACGTTTGCGAGCTAAGGCCGATCAGTGAAATTGCGGGCTTCATTCGGGAGAACGCTGATGCGTGCAAGGCCTGCAAACGTCAGTCTCAAAGGACAGACCCTGATGCATCTTATTCGTCAGGCGGCGCACCGGGACATTCTTCATGGGCAAGGGCAGATCGATGCAGAGAAGAAGCGCCGCAGCCTGAGTGTACAAATGATGTCGTCACGTATTTATCAATCTATCTCGTTTGCACCAAAGCTTCGATCCTGACCAGGCCACAATCAACAAAAGAAGGAGGAGGAAAAGAAAAGGAAGAAGGCTGATGCTGAGGCCTTGGAGCAGGAGATGAATGAGAGGCCGATATGCATTGCTTGGAGGGCCGAGTTGCATGTATAGCAAGGTATTCAAACCATATCTAGGTTTATAGATCAACACTTATTAATATAGGGTCTTATCTTCAAAGTTTAGATGACTTACGTAAACCTTGGAGTTATTTAGTTCAAAGTAGCTGTGGCCTCCTGACAACCCCTCCTGAAGCCTGAAACCTTTGAAAGTATGCCTGCATCACCAATCATCCAGCTCGCCGATACAACCACCATCTTACCTGTGACATTCCCATTCTTCACGAACACAATCCGAAGATACAACCCCAGTACTCAATCCTCCACTGTATGGAAGCACACTAGCTTTCCCATAATCCCATGTATAAACCCTACAAAACTTACCCCAGTACTCAATCGTCCAATGTATGGAAGCACACTAGCTTTCCCATAGTTCCGTGTATAAACCCTACAAAACTTTGATGGAACCGTGGCACCGTGGCACACTCGAAGCATTATTCCGAGCCCTTAGTAGGTTCCTGCTCATGCCGATCAGGTGGGAAACGATGACCGACGAAGAAAAGTTCGCATACATGCTTAAGGGCCAGGGCAAAGGTAAAGGAAGCAGCAAGAGCAAGCGGCAGAAAAGGTCGTGAGCTGCCACTTTTAATTTTGAGTTTCGTACCGAGGGCGGCTACGAGTGCACTCCACAATGCTTGTAAGCTACCTACTTAGGCTCTTGCATGTGCACTCCAAATGATGCTGAAGTGGCCGCCCTAGGAGCCTGCAGCAAGCAGTTTAATCTGTAGGGCCAGCGGCGATAGGGATTCAGCGCGAATCCGCCGTTGAAAAAACCTCACAGTCGATGCTCGCATGCTCAAGTTCACATGCTTGGCAAAAAAAACATGTTGCAGTATCATCATATGCCAGGATCCTACAGAAGTGGTGCAGGGCATCATGTCCGAGATTTGGTCGATGCTCGGGAGTGGCAAGGCCAGAACGGGACCATGCAAATCATGTGGCTCTGATGCATTCAATCAGGTGGAGATCAAACGACTGCGAAATCTCGTCTGTTCGAACCCCAGCCGAACGATCCTTCGAATCATGATTGAGACAAGATACATCCAAATCAAGGTCGCTTGAGGCATCTACCTGCACAGCTGGTGCCGTCACTGCCCTATATTCCTTGAGCAACCTGTTCTGATGTGAGATCTGTGCTAAAGAACTGAACCAGGAACGAGATCCTGGATTTGGCGGTTAGCTTCGATGGCTCTTCGAAATCGTGGGGCTGCGACAGAGTGCTCAATCGATGGACAATGAAGCAACCCTGGAGACAACTGTTGCCTCGACCATATGTGATTTCGTTGCCTTGTGTCAGGTACCAAGTTGTTGGGGCTTCGGTACGTTTCTGCTGCAAATAAGTGTTCTAAACCCCAGGAATAAGTGTTCTAAACCCCAGAAATAAGTGTTCTAAACCCCAGAAATATGTGTTCAAAACCATACCCAATCATAGCCGAAATGAGCCAGCACAACCCTTCTAAAGAGAGGGGTCGAATTACTGTTACAGGCAGGGTCTAATTTCTGCAGTATCACCTACAAAAGTCGAAGCCCTGTATGCGCAGCTCTGATTGGTTTATCAGGTGCATACGGATCGAACGGGGAAGCCGCTAACACGCATCAATCATTCGCTCTTCCTCCCGCATGAGATACTGGCCTCATTGCACAGCAGCGGCAACTTGCACCGGCTGGCTCCAGAAGGTGTTGCCTGGATTCACCATGCAGGGGCTTGCCCATTGAAAGTCTTTGGCATCGAGGTTTAGGGTCGGGTGTTTTGGGCTGGTAGGTCCAGGACCTTAGGGTTTCCAGTGTTGGGGTTTTCGGGCCGGGGAGATGATATCGACACTATTGAGCTGTACAATACATATCCTCAAAAAGGTACAAGGTCTGAACAGTCTGAACCCACCTATAGGGAGACTGATGAGCTGGAAAGCCATAAGACTCCAAGGTATTGTTGTATGGGTCCGGCTACAGGAATATTTCTAAGTATCAAAGACTGAATAGGATTGATCCCTGAACCAAAGCTATTCCTGATCAACGTGGGGGATTTGACGAGGAATGATCGACTTGCTTGGCCTGCTGTGGCACCAACCGGCAGCGTTAAGCAACAACGCGAGGAAATCCAGGGCGTGCACTAGTCACGTGCGTCGAAATCTGAAATTCAATGAAGGCCGTTGCCGACGGAATCCCAGCGGTTGCAGTATCATGCTTGCGACATGTTGAAGCTGCCGTTATAAATGCACTTGAAGCATATAGATACTAAGTAGCTGATGATTCAACATCCATCCGACCACACCCATCTTGATTCTCGAATGCTAGGTGGTATGATCCGCTGATGCGCATGTCGCCATGCTGAGCACGCCGTACGAATAATGAAGCCACTGCACTTCTAAGTAAGGCGACAATCCCGTTGGAGTTTATGTTGGGCATGATCGAATCAATATTGCTGGGCTCGTTTATCCTAGAGGTTTAATTATATCGTCCTTTGTTGATCGAGGGGCCGGGTCTCACACTGTTTGGCTCCGTCATAAGTCGTGGGAATGCAATCCGAATCGTTGATATCATCTTGCCAAACCAAGGCTCTCCAAGACCACTGGGAAAATGAGAGGCAGATCGATCCAGACTTCGTGGCCTGGGTGGAGTCTGAGGGCATCGATCTGCAGCAAGCGATTCCCTTCAGGATTTACGGGGACGGTGCGACTTCACTTAGATCTTGGCTTTGAAACAAACTTTACTACTTTGTTTTGTCCATATAAGGAAGTTGGTGCGAAGGCGTTAAATCTGGGAGTATGTGCTCAACCTAGGACACCAAAACTTCGAAATCATTGCACTGGAGCCTGTGCTTGCTGAAACGTCGACCCTCAGCAGCCGTCTTCTGATGTCTTGCATGAGCTCTACCTACTGCTCTGACGATGCAAGAACTGAGATCCTGAAAGTCTTGAGTTGGTCTTTTCACTGCTTGTGTGCTTTGCCATGCATCTCAGATCAGGGCTTCTCCGAAACCTGAAGAATGATTACTGTAAGTACTGGAAGTACCGAGGTGCGGGTACACATCCAGAGAAAGATCACAACGATGAGCCCTTCGCTGATCGAGCGAGGCGAGCTCTCGCTGGGAAGCCCTTGGCTGCAGGATTCCGAGGGATATTGGATGGGTTCGAAGGCGACCAAGACTGGATGCGACTATGCTTCTCTCTGAAGAGAACTGCAAGCTGCCAGCAGGTTTGCTACTACTGTCGGGTCTTTTGACAGCAAATATGAATCTTTCCTATTGCTTTTAATTGTATACTGCAACCGACTTTGGCCATCCTGATCTATAGATGATGCCGCCTGAGAGGCCTTAATGTTTCTGTCTCCTGGAGCAGCAGCTGGCAGTGAAGATGCGGATGAAGATATGCTGTTCACATCCTTTGGCCCGAATGCCAGGCACAGAAGAACGAGCCTTGGCGAGACCTGTGGATGTTTCTAAAACACCCAATTGTGTAAATAATACTATAGTTGGAAGCCCCATTTTTGAAACACAATCTCAGTTCTGAAAACCGCCAGCGGTTGCAAGACATCGTGATCTTGTTTCCGACATAATGTACTTTATGGGCCCTAAACCCTGAACTCTACGAAATATAAAGTTTCACGTGAGGTTGACTCATGCTGGCGAGTTTATCCAAGTGCATGGGCGCACGGCGTTGACCACCATCCCTTTCTTCATGCCTGAAAGATGCATGGCTGTGACTATATGGTTTTGATAATATCAGGGACATGTTTCGTACGCCTAGAACACACAGACACACACACACACCTCGTGAGTTCATGTGATTTCTCCATGCTGGGTCGACAGGAATATTTCCAGACCCCATGCACAACATCGACCTCGCCGTGATCCCAGACTTGGCGATTTCACTGCTGCTGGATTGGACTGACAACCAGGATTATGTAGCAGGTCCCCACAGGCCTACTCGGCTGCGTGCTTTGTATGAGAGCTACAACAATTTTATTGGACGTGACATCGATCGAGCAGATGCCAAGCTCTTCAATGCAGAGGTCTTGAAACCCAACTCCAATACTTTTGTGAGTGTTTCCCAGCACTACCTTTCAGCGGCCGCTGCTCGCGGGCTTTTGGTATGGATGGCAAAAGTGGCTGAGGATTTCGCTGCCGCAGCTCCGACGAGGGAGAATCACTGGCGAGCTGGTGCGTGCTTGGGACTGCTGAAACTTCAGCAGATAGCTATGGACAATGGGTGCCTTTTCTGCATCTATTAATAAGGCTCCCAGGTAATTTGATAGTTTTGTTTGCTGCTTTGGTCCACCATCGGACGTATATCTAAAGAACAGGCGTGTTCTGCCTGAAGATCAGCGTGAGCTGTCCGTGGAGTATTATCTGCTCTTCAGAACTTGCTGGAATGAACTGGCCCTCCGAGCGCTGCAGCTTCACCAATTGAGGTGGCACCTACGTCCGAAAATGCATCACGTAGAGCACATGGTCATGGACCATGTTGCTTTTGGCAGGAATATGCGATATTTCTCTTGCTTTTTAGGCGAGGATATGGTTAGAAGAACCAAACGCCTCGCAGTTGCTGTGCACCCAGGAACTGTAGGGATGCGAGTGCTGGAGCATTACTCCCTCCACGTGTGCTTGCTCTGGGCAGGCTTGCTCGAAGATTCCAAGTCCGGGTGAAAATCGATTGACTGAAGTGATCTGCATTGCAAGTATTCCTCATCCATTCCGGAACCAATTGTGCTAATCCCTGAAACCCCAAACAAGCCATTAAGTTTCTGATCCTCAATTTCAGCTTCAAGGTTGATCAGAATGTCGATTTTTTCGGCTGCAGAGATGATCGAGATGTCGTATTTCCACATCTACATTTTTCATATATCTATATTTATATTCATATTATTTTGATCTCTATAAATCTATATTCTATAAGTGCTTATTTTCATATAGTTATAAGGTTTAGGGCGCACGCGCACAGCGTGGCTCGAGACTGTTTCGCGGCTTGCGCGTGTACTGCGTGTTTGCGTTTACTGCGCGTGTTTTATATAGGGTTTAGGGTTTAGGGCATGCGTGCACGGCGTGGCTCGAGGCACTTTCGCAGCTTTGCGTGACCGCACGGGTATATTTATATGGTTTAGCATGTGCGCGCAACGTGGATCGTGCCAAACTTGTGCGGATTAGTGTGCGATTCACAAGTTACGAATCGTACGGCGATAGGCGGTGGGTCGTCACGGGGCCGTGTAGGACCGTGCCGTGTCATGCGGCCGTGTGCCAGCGTGCGCCCGTGTGTGTGCGCCCGTGTGCCCGGGCACATGGCCGATTGACCCGTCCTGGTACTCCTACCGCTAGGTCCTTGCGATCGATCAGGTGCTGGCGGGTTACTGAGTGAACGACCGCTTCTACCTGAAGGTGGCAGCGATCCATCAGGCCTCGGAGGGTTATGTAGTGCACCACAACGTGTACCAAGAGGTTCGGGAGATCTATTAGGCCTTGGAGGTCAATTGAATGCTCAGCTACCACTACGAGAAGACGCCACTGATCCTCTGGGTTTTGGCGGGCAGAGTAGGGCTCCTGTGGATGTATTAGGGCAGCAGGTAGATCAGTTGAGTTACGGAGGGCTATTGGGAGTTCCTCCTTCACTACCTGGCCAACAAGGTGAGCCACGAATTCCGGCAGGAGATGCACCAAGACCGGCTCCAGCACCACCTCCGACACTACCACCACCTCAGCAGAGCGATGCAGTATTCGGGGGAAATGCTTCTGGTTTTCTACGAGGGCTTATGGGTGGAGCTAGACCCAGAGCTGAAACACCTCCACCTCCTGTAGATCGCCCCGCACCAGAATCCCCCATGCTGGAGACTATCGCTAAAGGAATGAAGCAGCTACAAGAACTACAAGCCCAGGCTATGTCCAGAACTACAACAACGGCTAGTGAGACAGTTAAGCCAGGTACGTCAATGCTGGCCGAGCTCCCGGATGCAGTGGTGGAGCTCAGTCGGCTTTGCTATTTCAGGACTGGATTGAGGTTGCTTCTTCAGTGATGGGAGATGTGTCAGAGCAGTCTGGAGCGTGGTGGAAGTCTGTGATGCTGCTGGTGGAGAGTGCATATGTAAGATGGTTGAACGCTACGCCGTTGGAGCGGTTGTCAATTGGCCCGGAAGGAACTGAAGACCTTATCGGGTCTCGCTGGACCCGTCTGAATGCAAGGGTGACGTCGATGCTGTTGTCTGCGATGAGCTCAGAGCTGAAGGCGGATATGCTGTCACAAAGGATAAGCCAGAATGCCCCGAAGATGGTGTTTCGGTTGTTTACATGGTATCAGCCGGGAGGGTCAGCGGAGAGACACGAAGTGTTGAGGAGATTGCAAGCTCCCCAGGACTATGTGCAGGGGGACACTGTTCAGGATGCCTTGAAGGAGATCCGCGGCTGGCCGAGGTGGTTGGCAAGATGTTCCAATATGGGGATGGTTCCACCAGACCCTTCAGTGATGGCGCGGGGACTGCACAACGTATCGCAAAAACATATTGCAACCTCGCAGGACTCGGCGTTCAGAACAGCTATGCTGCGCACCTCTCTTCGCTTGGACGGTCAGCCGTCACTGGAGCAAGTGCGCTCGTATCAGCGCCACCTGCAGGCGGAGCTCGAGAACCTCTCAGCAGCGCGATCCTCAGTATCTACTACAACACCACAGGCAAGAGCAGTTGAGGGCCCGGGGTCACCAGCATCGCCTACTACATCTACGAAGGGTGCAGGGAAGAGCAAGGACAAGGGCGGAGAACTTTGTCGCTACTTTGCAAAACCTTCTGGATGTAAACGGGGAGATCGCTGTACCTACTCGCACAGCATGCAGGGCATGGACCGGGACTTACGCTCCCGTAAGTGCCTGAAGTGTGGCAGTGAAGCTCACCGTGCTAAGGAGTGCAATGTGGGGAAGCCTGGACCGAAGAGCACTTCGACCACTACACCTACGAGACAAGGGGAAACAGGGGGTGGAAGAGAGCCAGGAGTTTCCTCAGTGAGTACGGCTTCCTCTACGCTGAATGGTGGCGAAGGTGTGCTCCAAGGTGTACCGTGGACAATGGAAGGTCTGATGCAAGCGGCCCAGCAGGTGATCCAAAATCAGGTGACGTCGCCTTCGGGGGATTCTTCTCCTGAGAAGACCAAGCCTCAGCTCCGGGTGCTTTCTATCCGGGATATCCGGGTTTCGTCAGTGAATGACTCAACTTCAGCGCTGCTAGACTCAGGGGCGACACACTGCCTGAGGAATGCGGTGGACAATAGGGAGTGGCAGGAGTCAGAAGAGGTCTTGGTGAAGTTGGCGGCAGATAAGTCCTTGACAATGAGGTTGAGCTCCGGAGGATCATTGCTGATGCCACCAAGGACACCCAGTACCACGGCATCTACTACAAGTACTGGGGCTCAAACCATAGTTCCCCTTGGTGAGCTAGTGAGAACTCTGGGATACACTTTGACGTGGTCGCCACAGGGTTGCAAGCTGCAGGATGATAGTGGTGTTGAGCGCAACTTGAGAGTTTCCGGTGGGTGTCCTCTTCTACAGGAAACGGAAGCCCTTGCAATGATCTCGAGGTTGGAGGACAAGAAAAGGGAGCTGCTTGAGAGCCAGACGGCGGCCACTATGGATGCTGTGTCATTGGCAGCAATGAAGTTGGAGATGTCCTGGAGGGATCATTTGGACCAGTATGTTAAGGAGGGATCTGTGGAGGCAGGAGTACGAGCGCTACGTGATGCTCCGTTTCTGCAGGATTTGCCAGGCGAGTGCTTGGATGGACTAGTTCAGACGGGCCTACACAAGAAGGGCTGGAAGGTGATGAAGGATGTTGACTTTCTCACGAGGCCTCAGAAGAGGTATCTTTGGGGAGCCCGAAGGTGGATTGTTCATGTGTGCGCAGGCAATCCGGGCCACTACCAGTTCTTCCAGCTCGATGATGGCCACACGGCAGTGCTGGAGTTGGACTTGGATCGCAATCGTGGCCAGAGCTTGATGAAGGATTCCACATGGAAGTTGCTTCTTTGGGGCGCAGTTATGGGAAAGATAGACTCCATTGTAGGAGGACCTCCCGGGAGGAATGCCCACCTGAGCCACCCCAGTAAGAACGAGGGCAAGGATGTGAAGAGCCTGGCGGTGATAACGCGAATGCTGTGGTTGTACTCAGTGGCGGCGACGGCAAGGACGGCATGTTCAAAGGAAGTTCAGCAGCAGCATTATGGTCGGCCGGTGGGGTTCGTTTTGGAGCATCCGGCGGAGGAGCTTCGCGCTGAGCAGTCATTGTGGAAGACGGCCTTGTGGGAAGACTTCCAGGAGGAGATGGGAATGTCCAAGGTCACGTTCGATCAAAAATGCATGGGGGCCGCGACTACGTCATTGACTACGTCACTACGTTGGGTACCAATATCTACTACTTGATGGGCCTCGACGGTGTGGGCCTGGATCCGGACCAACCTCTTGACGGTGAGCGCAATGGGCCCAGCAATGGAGTTTGGTCGCCAGGGCTAGTGAATGCCTTGGTGATGGCCCTGCGGTTCTGGACAATTCGCCCGAAGTGCTCTCCGTCTCTGATGGCAATGTCAGCAGAGCAATGGAAGCAGCACGTTCAATCGGGACACGTCAACTACCACAAGGATTGCCTCACGTGTGTCACCTCGAGGGGGACAGGGAGACGCCATGCTCGGGTTCGTCACCCAGACTCGTTCACCCTTACCATTGACCTGGCGGGCCCTGTGAAACCGGGTTTGGATGTGACGTCGAAGGGAACCATGGGTCGTGGCTTGAAGTACCTCTTTGTCGCTCGATATGTGTTCCCTCGGGAGTTCGCGAAGGCCTACTCGGGGCAGCTACCTCCTGAAGATGACGGTTTGAAGGATGTCCCTGAGGTACAGCGAGGTGATGGAGTGGACCACAGCGATGGCAAGGAGCTTGCGAGACCTTCTCTACTACCACCAGGTGAAGATGGGGGAAACGGTAGTGGGCACCCCTTAGAGGACCACAGCGATGGCAAGGAACTTGCGAGACCTTCTCTACTACCACCAGGTGAAGATGGGGGAAACGGTAGTGGGCACCCCTTAGAGAACCACAGCGATGGCGAGGAGCTTGCTAGACCTTCTCTACTACCACCAACAGAAGATGAGGATCCGTTCGGACTAGCAGAGCACGAGTCGAGCGGGCAAGGTCTGAATCCGGATGGTGAAGATGAGCAGAGTGAGCAAGGTCACCAGTCGTCATACGATGAAGAAGTGGATAGAGATCTTATGGGTTTCGCTGGTGGGTCACAAGAACAAAAGCGACGTTACACGGCTGAGGAGTTAGACTACGAACCATCAGTACCCGAAGGTGATCCTCAAGTCGAACTACAAGATGATCTTCCCAGGAGGAGTGCTCAGGTCCCTTTTCCGGACTGTGAAGCCCCAGAGATGACTCACCTACTATTCGCACGGGCGCTGCCAAACAATGGGACAATGGCGGTTAAAGCGGCACTACAAGATGTGACGTTGTACCTGGAGGCTCATGGACTGCCAGTGTACCGGCTACATGCGGACAAGGGCGAGACCTACAATCACATGATTCGCTCCTGGCTTCGAGACCAGGGGATTAGAGCCACATGGTCAGAACCTGGAGTTCCCCAAGGAAATGGACAAGCGGAAACCAGTGTGAGGTGGATCAAGGATCGAGCAAGGACGCTTTTGACGGCGTCTGGCCTTCCGGTTCGTCTGTGGCCTACGGCAGTGGAAGCAGCCACGGCGGCTCAAAGGGCGAAAGTTCTGGGATGGAGGCACAAGATGTTGGCCCCGTACGGCTCGGTGGTTCATGTGAAGCAGAAGGCCTTTGATTCGAGTGGTCCACGGAGGAGGGAACGGGCCTTTGAGTCGAAATGGTTTCGAGGAGTGTATGTGGGTCTCAGCAATATCCTGGATAATGGCCATGTCGTCTACGTCCCCGAAACCGAGAGCTCTAAGGAGAAGTTCGTCCATACGCTTCATGCAAGGAAGAAGTTGGTGGATCCAGGACGTCCACAAGAGGAGGTCATCGTCGACATCCCCAAGCCCAGGAGGAGAATATTGGAGAAGACACCAATGGAGGTTGTGGAAATGCGGGCTCTCAAGTTGAAGGATGGGGATCTCAGTGAGTACATTAAGACCCGCTCGAACATCTTGCTCAGCGATTGGGATCAACAGCAGGCTGCCCGTTTTGTTGACGAGCTAGCAGAACACGACTTCTTCGAGGAGCATAAGTTTGGTGTGTTCAGACATGGTGGGAGCGTTGGCTGGCTACGTGGTCTAGGGGAACATCCGGAACTTTCCAAGCTCTTGAGTAAGCTAATCCTCCACGACAACCCTGAGGCAACATTTACGGCGATACAGGTAGCTCGGAACATGGACAAAGAAGTTCACCGGGACTTTAACAATGACGAGCGAGCGGTGAACTACGTCTATCCGATAAGGATACCAAAGCAAGGAGGTGATCTTTGGGTTGAGTTGGTGAAGGGCGACGATGTGAAGGGCGAGATCATGGAGCGTACCGATGATCGAGGTCAGCGGCGCTATGGTCAGCTTTACAAAATGAGAGCTGGAGCCACAACGGTGTTTTCGCCACGAAAGCTTCATGAGGTACTACCGTGGGAAGGGACACGCACTGTGGTGATCGCCTACACGCCTCAGTGTCTAGGGAAGCTGGACCAAGAGATGGTGAAGGAGCTGGACGCCCATGGATTTACAGTCCCCCTGACCCAGATGCCGGAGTACTTTGTGCCAGAAGGGATAGAGGTGAGTACGCTTCAAGTTCCAGAACCAGCTCGGGAGGAGGAGCTCAACTCCAAACAAGCGACCTACGTCGATGATATAGGTGATACAGACCTTGAGGAGTGGGACATGTTCGTGGAGCAAGATGATGACTTGATAAAGGTCGGCGATAGTGAGGAACCCCCCATTGAAATGAAGGAGCCAGTCCTACGAAAGGTGGAAGTGGCATACACAAGCAATGTGGAGGAGATTCTCAGCAAGTTGACCAGCCCCTTGGAGGTGACCTACACAGTGGATCCGCGAGAGGTACACCAGCACCTCGAGCGATGGCGCCCGGCAATTGAACGAGAAGTAGCAAGTGTGGCAGTGGCAATATGTAAGCTCCTCCCAGGAACATCACAGCGGTCTGAGTGGATACGAAGACCAGGGGCCCAGAAGCTACCAACCAAACTGGTTTTTACGGTGAAGCCCGGGAGCAACCCGGATCCAGCAGACCCCAGTACGTGGTATAAAAGAAAAGCTAGGTTGGTGGTTTGCGGGAACTACGCGTCGGCCGATGGTTCAGACCTCTACTCCGAGACGGCACCGTCGGAGTCAGTGAGGATGGGTTTGGTATACTCCATCCGACAAAAATGGATGGTGGGACTTATTGACGTTGTTGCAGCGTTCCTACGTACACCGTTGAACCATGAAGAGGGAGCACCGACTATCATTGTCACCCCACCACGATTGTTGGAGCGGCTGTCTATGACCCTAGAAGGAGAACTGTGGGGCCTGATAAGGGCCTTATACGGTCTTCGGCAGGCACCGGCCCTCTGGAGTGCCTATAGAGACCGTCGGCTAGAAGCTATGGAGTTCCCGATGGGCATGAAGCTACATAGGGGGCGGACAATTACGGCTTGGTGGATTCTCAAGGACTGCAAGGGCAAGATCCGTGCCCTCATCATAATCTACGTGGACGATATCCTGCTAATGGGTGAGGAGTCGGTTGTCCGTGACGTGGCCTCAAAGATTCAGGAGGAGTGGACTACTTCCCCACTTACCTTCTTACGCCCTGGGGAACCGATTCGATTCCTAGGGACGGAAATGGAGGTGGATGCCGAGCATACTACCGTGTATCTAAGCCAGCGGGGCTACATCGAGGAGGTGGTTCGGTCTTATGGCTTCAGTGAAGACGACAAGGCAAAGATCCCATTGGCCAAGGACTTGGGAAGCTTCGAGTGGGTCGAGGGGGATGTGGAACCGACACCGGATGCCATAGCGAAGGCGCAAAAGGTGACCGGTGAGGTGATGTGGATGGCTCATAAAACCCGTGCTGACGCAGCATTCACTTCGAGCTTGATGGCGTCTATTACATTGAAGGCGCCTTACAGATGCTTGGAGATAGGGTACAAATTGCTCAAGTACCTCTACGGCACCAGAGAAGCGAAGCTAGCTATCCGAGATGATGGTACATGCCTTATCCTCTACCCGGACGCGGCGTTCGCCCCGAGCAGCGGGAGATCACATACGGGATGGTTGGTGTGTTGGTGTGGAACACCGGTCTGTTGGAGGAGCGGAAGGCAGGCCAGCATTACGCTGAGTACGGCGGAAAGTGAGTTGCAGGCCATCATAGAAGGGGCCGTTGGGATGTTAGGCTTGGAGGCGATGCTGCTTGACTTGGAAGTGGAACCCAAGGTTAAGGTGATCAGGAGTGATTCAACGAGCGCTTTGGCTATTGGTGCAGGGACTGGAAGCTGGAGGACGAGACATTTGAGGCTGAAGGCCTCTTGGATCCAGGAGATGATTTCCAAGGGCGAGGTGGTTGCAGAACATCAGCCGGGAATTCACCAGCCAGCAGATCTGCTTACGAAACCTTTGGCTGGGCAGCGCATACGAGATCTACTACAATTATGGGGAATCACTGATGGTCAACCGGCAAGGACCTACGTGCAGAGCTCAACTTCTACTACGGCCATAACGCGTATGATGGTTGCAATGGTTTGCTGCCTGTTGGTGTTGACAGTCGAAGCCCAGGGTCATCGGTCACGTGGAACCATTGAGGTGGGTTGGGACTTGGTAGCGATCTTTATGGGACTACTGATGGTTCTTGGAGGCCTCATCTTATATGAGGCGGTTCGATGGGGCGTGGTCGAGGCCTACTACAAGTATCTACCTGGAGCTTCGACGAGGAGAATGAGGAGGCTACAGCGACTACGTGATGCCACGGCACTAGCCATCGAGCGCGAGTTAGCGAGAGGACCTAACCGAGATCAAGGCCCAGTTGGGGCCACTTCCTCCACGAGCGAGTTCGTGAGAGGATCTACCAGCTCGTCTATGAGCGAGTCGAGGAGGAGACCGTCTACACCACCGAGGGCGAGGCCACAACCGGTGGATCGATCAACCTCACCATTGCCGCCGAGACGGCTCCCAGAGGTTTTTACACCCCCGAGACCTACAATGCAGGAGACCCCGACTCGGTCCCCTGGAGAAGGAGATGATCAAGTTCCTCATGATGAAGGGCTTCGGGTGTGTGTGGACACAGTGATGTTGATGAGGCTGGAGGAGATCCGTGATGGTCTCCGTTTAAATGGGTTGGTCATCACAGGCATTAAACAGGATGTTGCAACAAGACTGGCTCATGTCCTGTTCCGTCAACTAGGAACAGGTTCTGGCCCTACACTACGACAGATGAGATACTTGTTGTGGTTATGGCGAGAACGTAACCTGAGTGGGAGAACTCTTCTTACTTGGGCGTGCTTGCGTTCAAGAAGTGATACGTCGCGAACCATAGCCCACTGGAGGTCTCTATGAGTGGACGCTGCAGTTCTCTCGAACTTTTGCGAGGAGGAGTGCAGAAAGCACCAGCCGGCTATGATATGTGTCGCGCCGCTTCTCAAACACAGGGAAGGCTACGAGAGTGTAATCCCTTGAGTCAGGAATGCCCAAATGTATAGCAAAGCATTCTAGCAAAGACACCAGTCGAGACAAACCTGTACATCCTAGTCACGACAGACTTTGCAAAGCTTTTGTACTCAGAAGACACAGCTGTTTGTGCGTAAAAAGGGGCCTCAATTCGTTCTGTGCGCGTTCATGATGGTCGTTTGAATGACATCTGCAAGCACAGCTCCCGAGCACTCAGTGGATAGTGCTCAGCAGGTTTAGGGTTTCCTAAACGCCAAGAACCGTAAAGTCCGGACACGATCTGCCCGGTTTCAGAGGCTGCTAACATTCGGCCAGTGCACGGTGAAGAAGCACCCACTGCCAATCTGCAACTACACACCGGAGGATCGGGGGTTGAAGAAGAGCCAGGGTTTAGGGTTTAGGGTTTAGGGTTTAGAGTGTAGAGTTTAGGGTTTAGGGTTTAGGGTTTAGGGTTTAGAGTGTAGGGTTTAGGGTGTAGGGTTTAGGGTTTAGAGTGTAGAGTTTAGGGTTTAGGGTTTAGAGTGTAGAGTTTGAGGTTTCAGGGCCCAGGGCTGTACCCAGAGGCCCCAAAGTAGTTCCTTTTTGATAATTACCCTATAGGGTTCTATATACGAACCCCAAAAAAGGAGCTACTTTGGGGCCTTTGGGTAGTGTGTGGCCCCACACCCTCAAGCCCCAATCGACTAGGACCTTTTGTTGAAAGGCTGGGTCAAGGCATGGCTGCGCCTCGGGCTGAGATAAAGCGATGACAACATTTGGCGCCTTCGGGCTACCAGGGTTTGGGTTTAGACTTAGGAGTTTCCCAGAATAGGGGACCCCAAATAGTAGGATCCTTATTATATAAGGATCCCAAAATAGGGGACCCCAAATAGTAGGATCCTTTTTATATAAGGACCCCCAAAATAGGGTACCCCTCATTGTCGGAAACTCCCATTTAGGAGTTTGGAGATCAGGGTTCGGGCCTGGGAGTAGGGCTACAGAGTCAGCTTTCGGCTTCGGTGTGGTGCAGATTCTAAACCCTAAACCCTAAAGATTTATGGGCCTCTGGGTTTAGGGAGTAGGATTCAGGATAGTTGAGGGTTTCCCGCACCAAGGCAAACTCACATCTGATTTGTTGGGGTTTAGGGCAGGGGGGTGTACCCTGAACCCTACACCTAGATGCTCTCAAGCCCTTTTACAGTATGAAAGTGATGCTGAGGACACGGAAAGTCTGAAGCAGCACGAAATCAATCAACCCTGAAGGTGAGGCCAGGAGTGGTCAAGGCTCCTCAGGGCCCAAATAACCATTGCTATTTGAGGGTTCCTTACCATAACTCCAGTATAGCATACCGCAAACTCGTTACTACTTATCCCCGTATACTAGCTCATGGAAAGCTTGAAAGCCGCGCTGAGCCAAGCTCGTTACAGTAGAAAGCTGAAGAATGGAAGTAGTAATTTTAATCCCCAGTCGCCAAAACTCCAAGAACCCGAAGCCCTAAACCCGAAAAGCTAGATCCTAACTTTTGAAGGATGTCACCTACTTCGGTACGATCCGCGCTCGCTGGGTGCAGCAGCTTTGCTCCAATTCCTTTCAGGTTGGAAAGCAAGTTCCTAGACACGCGCGAATCTTGAGCCCAAGTAGAGTTTGTGGGCTTAGGGTTTTGGGGTTCAGGGTATGCGAGTAGCTTAATCCCCAAACCCCAACCCCAAAGCCCAATGCCCTGGGGTTCCAAGCAGCTCACAGTAATTTTGGGGGTTCGAAAGAAACATTCATAGTATTCCCTCGTAGTCCCAATTATTTTCTATACCTCGAAACCCTTTTCGAATCATTAAGGCCCTTATATCGGTTTTAGACTCCCCAAGCCCCAAAACCCTAAACCCCGAAACAAGTTTTAGAGTGTAGGATTTCAGGAACCGATCTGTTCCAGCTTAAGGCTTTGAGTTTAGGGCTTAGGGTTGTGATGTGAGGTTTTCTTGTGCATAAGATCGAAGGAGCTGAGACTTCATCAGCTGTTATTGTGATGGGACATCGTTGCAGCTCTTGCTTTCGAGACGCTTTCGGTCTTCAGAGGCGATGGCAGGCTAAGGGATTTTGTGTTGTTGGGTGTTTCTGGGTTTTTTTGAGTATATGGAAGTTTCCGAGAATAGGGGGCCTAAGATAGTACCCTGAATAGTAGGATCCTTATTATCAGGACCCCCAAATAAGGTACCCTAATTTTCTATGTATGTCGCGAATCCCGTGCATGTTGTGTTTCGATGCACGGCTCGCCACAGTGTGGAGCAGACCTCCTTTCTCACTGCGAGTCCATCAGTGACAGCCTTGCTTCCTGAGAAAAACAAGAGGAATCCTGACAAGTCCAGTCTGCGGTGGCACAGACCCTGAACCTCTTGGCCCTCTCCCCTCAACCCTACATGGGCTTGGTGGGTTTGATTTGGAGAATCCGTTTCTAATACTCTTGACTTGCGCAGCTTCTGTTTAGGACGTACATGGTCCTTCCAAATGCCGTACCCCATGAAAGAGCTCAAGAATGAGGCATCCGAAGTTTAACATGCCACTCCCAGGATGCGACGACACGCCATGGGTTTTGGCGATCTGAGCTACATTTTCATGATCCTCCCCCTGCTGCAGGCTCTGTGTCGAAGGTTATGCAATTTATTTGTTGGTGTAACTCAAAGTCTCAAAGTGTCGGCATCTTCTGCGTCTAACGCAAAAAATCACAGCACAAAAACCTATTGAACTCATCAAGGCCCCTGCTTTTCCAGTCTCGAGGCTCGGGCTAAGTGCAGCTTGGGGTTTGATAGTGAGAGCGAATTGATGAGTGAATTAGTGTCATGGACCACAGGAACCTTCGCGCATTTTTTGGCTCATATCCTGTGCAGGGTAAACAGCTTTAATTAAACCCTAAGCTCACGTGTTCGCAGCGCAATCTCCTAAATAAGCACTCTTCAAAATGAAGAAAGCCCTTTAGCTATAGAGATTGTGCTGTGTGAAAAATTCCCGGGGGTGCCAGGTGAACGTGCAGTCTTCCAAATAAAGGCTTCCAAATTAAGAAAGCAGCTTATAGCTATGGAGATTGTGCTGTGGCAGCTTAGATAAGCCCTAAACTCTAACCGCTGTTATGAGACGTGGAGCATCATGCTTTTGAGGCTCATGTGATCCTAAACCCGACGTGCGAAGCCCCCAAGCCCGAAATCTGGCAATCCTTGATACTCGAAGACCTTCTAGACCTCAAGAACTAAACCCCAAGGGTCTTTAAGCCTCCACGTCTTTCAAACCTTACAGGGCAAGGCTTTTGAGTCCTAAACCCTAAACCCTCAAACCTAAAGTCGAGGTTGCAACGAGGTCACCGGGAAGCTCCTCCAGAGCTTTCGGCAGCACCGTGGGCAAGGCGTTCCCATTGCTGCTGCGAGCCTTCGACGCACGGATGCCCCCCGATTTTCCCAAAGACTCTAGGTTTGTTGGGGTTTTACCCCGGGGTTTATAGGGTTTCTGTGCTGGGTACTTGAATTTAAAATTAGGACCCTCCAGATTTAGGGCGTGCGGGCGTGTTTGGAGCTAAGTCATTTTGGGTTCGGGACACCGTATCAGCCTTGTCCTTTTTCATGGTTCCCCCAAAAGAATAAACAGACCGGCTAGTAGACCTTCTTAAATATTTCCTACTAAGGGGTACAGGTATAGGGCTCTGTCTATTATTTCTAAAAGGACAAAGGTGCACCGTATCCTCTTCTTCGGGCCCAGCTTTCGAGCCTTCAGCTCTTGCGGCAGAAACTTTCTATAACTCTTTGCTCCTATTACCATGGTTTGGGCGTTAAGGGTTATGGCATATCATGGAAGTAGCTGAGTATGCTTGTTTTTTAAAAAGTGTTGGGGTTTCTATAGACCCACCAGAATAGAGGCCTTACCTTTTCTTAAGGCCTTGGGTGTGCTCAGCCCCACAGCTCTCGAGCCAGATCAGTGAAGCCCATGGCAGAGAGAGAGCAATATACACAAGGTAGGGTTTAGGGTTTGGGGTTTAGGGTTTAGTTCGACTATGCTCCCTGCTGTTACAGCCACGGTTTGGGTTTAAAGTTTAGGGCTTCGTGTGTAGGGTCGGTGCGTTGCTTGGTGCAGGTCGTTTCAGGTGCCTCCTCAATCCAACATCTGCCCCTTCGACAATTCAATCGTGAGCATGCAGAGAATCCCTTCTGGATGCCTAAACCTTCAAAGCTAGGGAGAATACCTGTAACGTTAGAGGTCTGATGGCATAGAGGTTAGCCAATATCTCTCCGTGAAGTCGCTGTACACTTAGCTGTATATTACAACATCCATCACTAGCCGATTCTTCTCCCCGAAACCCTTAAAAAAAAAGCACCCTAGCTACGACCAGCCTAGATTATCTTTCTGAATCCACTGAAGCCACGAGCGATTCCCGAGGCATCACATCTGTGCACGTCACCCTCGGCCTTCTCACGGTCTTCGGAGTGCTCCTGGCCGTGCTGTCGATGCTCGAGTGGCCGGGCTTAGTCTTTGGGGCAACATTGGGGATGAAGATAGCCTTTTACCTCGTGGGTTTTACATAGATAGCCAATGGGGGAACTTTAAACTTTTTGGCCTTATATAGTTGGTCTATCTTAGAAAGTTTAAACTTTTTTGGGCCCGGTTATTGAAGGAGAGAGTTTATGCTAAGCTAGGAGGCTAGGTTTAGGGTTTAGGAGGCTTCATTCGTGAATCTGCACAGGCGGATCCTGCAGAGGAGTTTGGGGTGAATTTGCTTGGAACATGCTTCGCTGCTACGTTGGGGGGTTCTCGGCCCCCTGCATTTCCAAGCCTCGGGCATTGGGCTTCAAGCTTTCGGATGCTGTAGAAAGCCAGTATCAATGGGCCATCCATTGCGTGCCTCAGATATCGGATCCCAAGCCTCTGCCATGTTCATCGCACATGAGTTTTGGCGACGTTGCCGTGGTCGCAGGCATAGTGTGCAGGAACAAGCCTGGGCGTTCGATCCTGGCCAACAAGACCGCCTATACTATACCCGAAGATTCAAAGCCTAAGCTGCAGCCTAACACCCGAATCCCAGAAACTCCTAACAAATCCTGACAGTCCTAGCACGCTGAATTACAAAAGCATAATGAAATCTGTATGGACGTTGCAACTAAATGCGTAAAATCCGTAACTATAGATATTACAAGTGCATCAGGAGGGTGCTTAGAAGCTTTCCTGATGAGTCTCCTGACCCTGCAAGCAGAGCCCATCCCCGAAAGCAAGGCTTGCCGACGTTATCGAAGCGGGCCGGATTGACGCTTGCAAAGCAAACGGCCTGTGGTTTAGGCTCCAATTAGAGGACTTTTAGGGTTTTTGTTGGGAAGTTCGTGGCTTATGACAATCCTTGGTGCCCCGAGGTGAGGCTGCGGTTGCTTCGTTTAGGGTGTAGGGTTCTTGCAGTCGCACGGAAAGGAAAGGGTTCAGGGCTGAGGGTTCAGGTTTTAGGTAGGTGGCATGGGGCTAAAGTATTCGAGGGTAGCTGTCCCGAACGATGTTGCGTAACAGGGACTGCGTTTCGTGTTCATTTACATCTTCACGGCAAAGGCAAGAAGGTTTCGGTTTGCTGGGTTCAGGGCTTTTCGGGATGTGGGCTCTGATCCTCGGGCATGTTGGGAGCTCTCAACCTCGAAGTGCTTGTGAGGCTGCTTTTCAGCAGTTGCACTTCCTGAACCCTGCTGCCCGAGACTCCGAGATTTGAAACAGGAATGCTAGTCTGACCAAGGGTATGCCTCAACACTGAGTTCTAACTATGCAGATTTCGCCGTCCCTGTTGAAGCCTAGTCTAGTGCCCTGTGTCAAAGTCAGAAGAGCTGTGGGGCTGAGCTGCTTCCCCTTGACGAACTTAGCCGTAAAAGCCGAGCATGCAGACCTCGACATCGGGGTTTTCAAAACATAAGCTCCTCAACCCTCAATCCTAGAAACTGTTTTCCCCGAGCCTTGAATTAAATTTTCGCTGAGGACCGTATCATCACACTGGGCAGGGAGTTTCAAGCTTTACTCCTGGTGGGGATTGCTGCTTGGTCTTCGTTTCGGGGCTTTGGGGCTCGGGTTGCTCAGGGCGTAGAGGTCATGAGCTTGGGCATAAAAGGCCTAGAAGGGCGCAGTCTTCGGGGTCGGTTCTCAGCATTTCGACTGGATCCGAATATTTCTCGATGAGGTAAGCAGCCGTCTTGGCATAGAGAAGGTCCAGCCCTTGAGCACTCGTAGCCCTTTGGGAGCCGTTCGCGGACTTTCTCCGGAAGGAGCGCAGTACAGGAACATGTGAGGATATGTCGCTAGGAGAACACTGACTGCGACATCCCAGATCCCACTGCCTTCGGTGCCACAGCGTACATCTGCTTTCCTACTCTGAAGCGATATCCGGGTTGTTGAAGGCTCCTGGAAGTCCTCCCAGGGCATCGGGGCAGATCCAAAGTCAGAGCTTTTGACAGAACTGCCGTCTGGCATATCGATGTCGAGAAGAAGACTAGGTAGGGCTTTGGGACATTTTCTATTTGCTCCTATTGGGCTTAAGAGAATCTTACCTACTAATATTTTTAAATGACTTTAGAAGCACCTCCTAGAAGACCTCCAGGAGCCCTTAACTCTGGACCCTTCAGTAAGAAAGACACCGGCCACCGGAGAGTTCAGGCGTCGGATCTACCCCGCTTGGCCGAGCAGAAGTTTATCATTCAGAGGTTTACGAGAGGTGCCTAAATCATTACCAACATTATTTTGGGGATTCCTTACTATAGTTATAGTATAACATACCCTCTATAAACCCTACTCTAATCATAAGGGCCCCATATTATACTGTCCTTATGGACCACTTACAGTAGTATCCCTTCTAGTCCCCTTTATGGGAACCCCGTTCAAATTATCAAGGCCCCTATATTACCGCATGCGTGAGGTCGGCTGCGGCGCTGTTTCCGCCTGCCATTTCGCGCGAGCCTACCAGCTGCTCGCTCGCCAACCAACGCACAGGGTCACCGTGTACTTGGTATAAGTGGGGTTGTAGAACCTAAGTAGTTACCACAAATTCAATCCAGGACTTCTTAGAGTTGCAAAAACTCCTTTTCGGATGTCCTGGTGAACTCTGAGTCGTTGCAGACACCTAGAATGCAAGCGGCAAGAACCGCAACCCTCGACTATATCCACAAATTTGGACAATTGGTCACAGGTACCCTTTTGTAGGGCCATCATCAAAACAAAGCACGGCAGTTTAAGGTTTGCAAATGTGCCTGAAACGGTTGCTTTTCCCTGGTAGTGGTACAGTGACCGCCGCAACGGGATCACAACTCAGGCTCAGAACCGCGCAAACATGGTCGAGACGTCTTGGATGCTTCGGTTCTTGGGGTAACCTACTTCACACAACTTGTCCGTAAAGTTCGAATTCTGGCCCTACTTTTGGCGCATTAGACAGATATAGGAGCTGTGCAAGAAGTAGGTTCGTGGTTCGGTTTGGTTGGAGGCTTTTAGGGCTTGCGGGGGCTGTAGGGTTTCGTCTTTGTAGGTTCGGAGTTTGAGGTTTCCATATGGTTATTGGGATGACTGGGCCTTTTCCTTTGGAGTGCCGTGCTATTTTGGTGACCTATTAAAAAGGGGCCCCCAGTCACAGTCGAAGGTTTGTGATGCGGAAGTTGGAGCGGCAGCGCACCGACGCCTTCGTTGACTGGTGTCGATTCTGCTTCTACTTGATTTGGGCCACTTGTCCGCTTTGCAGTTCGGGGATCAGATGTTATTTGGAGTTCGGGGGGGTTGGGTTTTTTATGGTGCAGGATTTAGAGTTTATGGGTGTTTGGGGTAATTAAGATGCGCGGTGGAAAACGGTAGACTTGAACAGTTTGCTTGGACAAACCGAACCTACACCCCAAGCTCACCGCTGGCCTCAGCTGTCGACCTTATCCTTGCCGGCATTGCCGATCTAGTGACCCGGGCGCTTCAAGGCTAGATGATACAGCAGCTTCTCAATCCTGGATCCCAAGTTAAGGGCATCTGTAGCAACTGCGATTAGATATCGGGGTGTACGTTAGGTCCCACCTATTCTGCAATTCAATCGCAAAAGCCCGAGCAGCCTGCCTTGTTGACAGAGTGTGTCTTGTGGGTGGGGGTTTCACCCGAACCTTGACCTTGACCTGCAAACAATTTCAGCCGTAATACCCATATTCCGAAGCCCCTAAATCCCATAACACCAACCCAGGCCGTGACCTTTGAAGCCTTCGCATGAAGGACGTGTAGACGGTGATCTCCTCAACTGCGAAGTCAGCCCGGTGAACTCTAAGCATCCGGCACCCGCAAATCCTTCACCTTCTACGTTATTAAAACCTTGAAAGCCCCTTGGGCCCCCCCCAGACTCCAGAACCCCCCATAAACCTTGAGAAGCTGAGTGCGTCATATATACACCAGCTAGGCACTGCCAGCTTTTCCTTCATTCTACGTCGACCCTGGAGAATGTCCTTTGTTACTTACTTTGGTTCGTGAAACATGGTAACCCAACATAGGTGCTGCAATGGGGTGTATAGGGATTGGTCGCACCCAAAATCCCCCTACCCCGAAATCCTTAGCCCCCCACGAAAACCCTGCATCAGAAACTCAAACTGTAACTAGAACCCCACGTGTAGGGTAGAGCCCGCGAGCGTTTGCAAGGACCAGTCAGCAAAACACCACAACAATTTAAATGACATGCAAAACAACAGAATACATGTCCATGTATGTATACCGGCCTGTTTGGTTATGTATTTCATTATTTCTGTAGTTGTACTTTATAGTCGCCTAAATAACTAGGGAGTTCCATAGTTGTAATATAATGGGCCCCGAAACCCTATTCTAATCATTAAGGCGTCTATAGTATTGTTTTCGTCCGTAGCCCCAGGCTGGTCCTTTCTTCTTCCTCGCGAGCGGTCTCTGCTCCTGTGCTCGGGCAGAAAACAGTATGGCTCATATAGGGCTTTGTAAGGTTGTGGGCTGGTAAGGTTCTCGCAGCTTGTTTTGGCCTAAGGGATCTTCGGACATGTTAGGGTTTCTATACGGGTTTAGGCCGGACTCAGCTCTCACATGAAGCGGCCGCGAACTTTCCAAAGAGGCAGCGCGGAACGAGGTCAGAGGGTTTGGATAGGTTCGGGGTGTCTGGCTTCTTGAGCAAAAACTCAGCCCTTAAGCCCTGCAAACCCTACAGCCACGAAGCTTTGCAACCTGAAATCCCCAAGTCTTGCGCGGTGGCGGGCGACGTGGTCATGTGACTTTGTGGTACCGGGCTCCCGTCCAAGGTTCATCTCTCTGCAGAACCACACAAATTCGCCTCTATCCGGGCTAGCACTCCACGGATTGGTGTATATAGGGTCATTCGAGCTCCCCGCATCCAAACCCCCTTCGCTTAACCCCCCTCCCCCTAAACCCCAAACCCTTCCCCAAAGGCCTGGCGGCTATCCAGATGCTTCGTGGCCCGAGCATGGACTACGTGGTCGCACCGAAGCCCCGCCCCAGACCGCTCGCCGAGGAGTGGGCAGGGGAACACGCGGCAGCGTTATTGCAGCGTAGTAGTTTCCCTTAATCTCACCGTATGTTTGTACACATGTATGCATGTATTTGTGCATGTATGTATGTATGCTTGCATTATACATGTGCCATTCCATTCCTCCAGTCCATCCATCTACCCATCTGTCCATCCATGCATGCATGAGCACGCGGACGTGCATGTGGGCTTAAGTGTTTATATACCGTATGTATTTACATCTTATGTGTTTGTATATACACACGCACAGGCATGAACGAATAGCTAGCTCTGTGGTACCGTTGTCCACATTAGTTTCTGATGATCATTTTCTTTGGCGCCCAGCGTTTATGGATCGTGTGTGGCTCAGGACAGCTCACGGTGTTTCGAACATAGGGCCAGCGTCCTTCGTAGGTTTGCATGTGACGAGGTTCAGCGGACTCGTATATGCTCAAGAAAGCTAAAGCTGAGCAAAAGGTTCCTGACAGGCTACAGGTCACTTGCCACCGCTTTGGCAGGAGTATGAGGCATGCACAGAGGCAGACTGAATGAGCCGGTAGAGGCTGGTGGTAGCCAGTGCCACGGGTGGCGCCTTAGCACGTTTGTCAAAGTCGGAAGTCTGCTTCAGCAAATCAATGTGATGTCTCGGTGCAATAGCCATGGAAGATCAATGAAGGGGGCAGTTTCTTTCAGCCCTTGACTTGAGCCACGAGCCCCTCTAAAACTGTAGTCGTGTATCGACAGTCAAGTGAGAATATGCCATTGCGAGATTGAGAAAGAAGCATCGATTGGGGCTTTAGGCTTTAAGGGCTTAAGGGCTTTCTTCCCTGCGTCTTTTCCAGCGGCGTGTGTATGTTCTGCGTAGTTTATTGACACTGCTCTTTATATGTCTTCCCCATCAACCTACATTAGCGCCTATTGGCCTTTTGGCCTATCACGCTAAAGGTCAGGATCAAGCTTGGATGAAGTTCAGATGTCCTTCTCAGTACCACGACCTTGGATTCTGGGGCTGTTTGCCTCAATCTGCTTGCAGTCGGAAAAGTGGTGACACCCTGCTACCGAATTTGGCTGTGTTCAGAAGTGCCGCTCGCCCGAAGTCCTCATCTGTAGCCGTAGCCGTAACAGAGCACTTCTGCAACAACCGAGCTGCAACGGAGTCCAGCAAGTCTCCTGCTTCGTCACCGGGAGAGACATTTCGTTCCGGCAAACGGCTACCCATGGCTGCAACAGCCCACCGTTGGTGGCATGCACACCACGATTTTGGGGTTAACCTGCCTGTTTTGTGGGGCGCGAGGTATAGGTGTTCTTTGGGGGGGGGGGCGGGGTTGGGTGTGGGGGGTGACAACGTCCGTTCCTACGGCGACCATTTCACTAAACACTGCAGAAAGAATGCTTGATGTTTCTGGAACAAGACATGCTGGCACAAGCGTTGGGTTCCGCCACCAAGGCCCTGGTGCATGAGTGACCTAGTTTACAAATAGTAATCATATAGTTATTAATGTCAATATTGGTATAATGGTTGTTGCGAAGAAGATTCTCATTCATACTAACTATATTGTCGTTCTGTTCTCACTATTAACCAGTATTATCTAATCAGTGTGTTCTTACCACGATTATGATAATTCTTGTTATTTACATTATTGTTGTTATTTATAATTATGTATGAGTCATATTCTTCCTGTTATCATTAGCATATTGTTTCTATTGTATGGTTGGTGTTACTATTTTTCCCTACAGCAGCTCTTTTGGCGACGTTCCCAGGACCCAGTAGTCCCCAAATGGTGCTCTTGCTTGCGACAAGCATCATTCCCGCATTGCAGTGGCGAGCAATGCAGAGGCCTTAGTGATTAGGATGGAGGTTTAGGGGACAGCATACTACAGTATATTTGTAATTAATAAGGAGCCCTAAGGAATAATGTTGGTAATTCTTCGGGCCGCTACAGTATGCTCGGCGGCAAAGCCGGGCTGTGGGGCACAGCCCTTCTTACCCGTGTGCTATTGCTAAACATATGGGTTCAATGTATCTATTTAGTCCGTGATGTCGCATCCGCGATGATGTGGCTCAAGTCGGCAAAGTTAGCATGCCTCCCTACAGACGCCTAGGCCCATGCCCTGTGTCTCCCGAGAGCAAATGCCAACATGCAAGCTCCAAACCCGAAGCAATTAAAGCCATGCATGCCATCACGTACACGCCCATCATATAGATCGTGTTCACATACGTCTCGAAAGGCAGCTTGACTGCTGAGGGTCTCGAGTGCAAGTCCGGGCCTCCTCACCACCGAGGCGTGTGCTCTGGGAAGGACATTTCCAGCCATTTGCAGTGTCGAGCTGTTGCTGAATGTCATTTTTGTTGCCAGATTTTCGTGATAAAACTGATAAGTATACAACGCAGAGCAACATGATCTTCCACTGAATCACTTGTGTGGCTGCACTTACCGTCAGTAATCGCTGTCGGCGTCGTCGACAACGGCATCGTCATCGTCATCGTCGTTGCCACTTCTACTCCTACCTTACTCCTACCTCCGCTCCTACTCCTGCTGCTACTTCTGCTCCTGCCTCTTCTTCGGGTGCTACGGACGACCGCTACAACGAACCTCTTAGCTCTTCAGCGTATCGCAAATCAGGCCTAAACATTTTCAGCCGCTCTTGGGAAGTCGTGTCTCTTGAGTTGGGGCTTAGGGCTTTGGGATGTTAAGTTATAAGCTATTTAGAGTTTGGGTTTATGTTTGCAGTTGAAGTTTTTCAGTTTGGGAGTCGAATCGTTGAGGTGATTTTCCGGCTCCTGGGCCTCTGCAAGCCGCAGACCTTTTGCCCCTGGAGGTTCTCGCGAAGATGGCCAAAGACAAGGACAAGAAGAAAAAGAAGAAGTCTTCCTCCAGCGAGGTGGGCTCATCGTTTAAGTTGAGTTTAGGGTCTTGGGAAGAGTCTTCTTCCAGCGTGGTGTGCTTAGGATGCTAGAGGGGGGATCCGACTCATCCCAGGATCCAATGTATAGTTCAGGATTTTGTCCTTGATGAGTACAAACTTCCTGAGCCCTACATAGGTCCTTGCTCCCTCCCGTCCTTATCTTGACAAGCCTAAAACCGTCAACCATCTGAAATCCCTTTGAAACTCAGGAGCCAACCGTTGCTCGAAGCCTCGTAGAAGACTTAATTCCTTGGATTTTTGAACCGTTTTGATCCGTCAAGCTGATGAGACCTTCCTCCTTAAGCCCTAGAGCCCGATCCCCTACACCCGAAACCCTGCAGAGCCTTGTAAAAATCCTAAACCCTAAGCCCTAAACCCTATAGACCCTATAAATCCTAAACCCTCAACCCCTAAATCTTCAACCCGAAACCCTATTAATCCTAAACCCTAAATCCTAAACCCTATAAACCCTGCACATCCTATAAATCCTAAGCAGCCCTAAACCCTTAAATCCTAAGCCTTATAAACCCTCTAAATCCTTTAAACCCTATAAACCCTATAAACACTATGAACCCTATAAGCCCTATGAACCCTATAAACCCTGTAAATCTTTTAAACCCTTTAATTCCTATAAGTCCTCATAACAGCGCCAGGAAGCGCCTGCCGCTGCAGCACGCGCCCGTGAGCCGGTTCCCAGATGCAAGAGGGTTGAGAAAGGGGCGGGTTCCGATATGTTGGTTTAGGTTCAGCGTTTAGCGTTTAGGGTTAGGGTTTAGGGTTTGGAGTGTAGGGTTAGGGTTTAGAGTTTCGGGTTTAGGGTTTATAAGTTTAGGATTTAGTGTCTAGGGTTCGCGTGTAGAGGGGTATAAGGGCTCGAATCTTCAATAGGGTTCAGGCATTGCGGAGTTAGGTTTAGGGCTTGAGGCCTCAAAGTTCAACTTAAGGCAAAGGTTTTAGGAATGCTCCGAGTTTGAGGGTGCGGAGTACAGGTTGGGGTTTGGGTGTTCGGGGTTTGACAGGGTTTTCAGGGCTTTGGGTTCAATGGTTCAAGGGGCTTGGTTGCTCAGGGTTCCGGGTTTGGGGGTTTCGGGAAGAGTTCAGGGTGTAAGGTTTCAGAATTCAACATTTGGAGTTGCGGTGGCCGAGCCCCCGAAGCCTCAATCAGCCACCTCTAGCTAGATTCCCTTGGGCACAATCCCGAGAAGAGAACTAGAAAGACAGAGAGAGAGAGAGAGAGAGAGAGAGAGAGAGAGATTGCTCGTAGTGCTTGCACGTGCGCCTGCGCGTGCGTGGGTGACCCTGGGTGCATGTTAGGCTGTGGGAGGATCATTTCTCGGCAAGTCATCGTTGCTTTATGCGCAAAACGCTTGGCCCCTCCAGGCCAAGGCCAAGGAAGAAGAAGACCTGGAGACCTACAAGATGCCTGGCCGCAAGCAGCCGAAGCAGCTACCCTAAACCCTAAACCCTAAACCCTAAACCCTAAACCCTACACCCTAAACCCTACACCCTAAACCCTAAACCCTAAAGTCTTCGCTGAGGGCTCGACAACCGCCACCGCGGAGCCCGAAGCGGCCCGAGCTTCGCGAGCGGCAGAAAACGCGTACGCGGAGCCTAGGTAAAGCTAGGCGACTGGCACCATGCATGCCGGCCCCTCGGGCACCTCCCACGGAGTGGTAAAGGTATAGACCCTAAACCCGGGGGTTTTTGCCCACACTCCCTTTCGACAAGGGTTTGACCCCCCAACCCTTCATGAACGGCAAATGGACAGGGGTTTGACCCCCCAACCCTTCACGAACGGCAAATGGACAAGGGTTTGACCCCCCAACCCTTCATGAACGGCAAATGGACAAGGGTTTGACCCCCCAACCCTTCATGAACGGCAAATGGACAAGGGTTTGACCCCCCAACCCTTCATGAACGGCAAATGGACAAGGGTTTGACCCCCCAACCCTTTATGAACGGCTCTCAAATGGACAAGGGTTTGACCCCCCAACCCTTCACGAACGGCAAATGGACAAGGGTTGGACCCCCCAACCCTTCACGACTTGGCGGGTGTTCCTTTCCAGGAAGTTGACAGCTGAATTTCTGTTACCAAATTCTGCTTATAAAATGTGCCATTTCATTAGGCTGTCGGCCGATCTCTGGGTTCCTCCTTTTTGGCCAGTTCCCAAATGGACAAGGGTTTGACCCCCCAACCCTTCACGACTTGGCGGGTGTTCCTTTCCAGGAAGTTGACAGCTGAATTTCTGTTACCAAATTCTGCTTATAAAATGTGCCATTTCATTAGGCTGTCGGCCGATCTCTGGGTTCCTCCTTTTTGGCCAGTTCCCAAATGGACAAGGGTTTGACCCCGCAACCCTTCATGAACGGCTCCCAAATGGACAAGGGTTTGACCCCCCAACCCTTCACGAACGGCAAATGGACAAGGGTTTGACCCCCCAACCCTTCATGAACGGCAAATGGACAGGGGTTTGACCCCCCCAACCCTTCATGAACGGCAAATGGACAAGGGTTTGACCCCCCAACCCTTCATGAACGGCTACCAAATGGACAAGGGTTTGACCCCCCAACCCTTCACGAACGGCAAATGGACAAGGGTTGGACCCCCCAACCCTTAACGACTTGGCGGGTGTTCCTTTCCAGGAAGTTGACAGCTGAATTTCTGTTACCAAATTCTGCTTATAAAATGTGCCATTTCATTAGGCTGTCGGCCGATATCTGGGTTCCTCCTTTTTGGCCAGTTCCCAAATGGACAAGGGTTTGACCCCCCAACCTTCATGAACGGCCCCCAAATGGACAAGGGTTTGACCCCCCAACCCTTCATGAACGGCAAGTGGACAAGGGTTTGACCCCCCAACCCTTCATGAACGGCAAATGGACAAGGGTTTGACCCCCCAACCCTTCATGAACGGCAAGTGGACAAGGGTTTGACCCCCCAACCCTTCACGACTTGGAACGGCTTTTAAATGGACAAGGGTTTGACCCCCCAACCCTTCACGACTTGCAGGATTGCTACGAATCCGAAATGGACAAGGATTGGAGTCTCACAGACAATCCATTGCTTCATCCGGCACCCGCCAGGATAGCCTCACAGAAAGCCCACATGAGAACTCGCCAACACAGCCTCACAGAAAGCCCACATGAGAACCCGACAGCACAGCCTCACAGAAAGCCCAATCCTAACAGAGACAGACTCACAGAAAGCCCGCATGCAGTGCTGCTTGTTTTTGCATAGTTCCCGCTTCACAAAAAGCCCACTGCTTCTTCCGGCATTCGCCAGCACAGCCTCACAGAAAGCCCATTGCTTCTTCTGGCACCTGCCAGGACAGCCTCACAGAAAGCCCACATGAGAACCCGCCAGCACAGCCTCACAGAAAGCCCAATCCAGACAGGGACAAACTCACAGAAAGCCCACATGAAACTTGCCAACAGAAAGCCCAATCCAAACAGGTTCAGACCCACAGAAAGCTCACATGCAGTGCTGCTTGTTTCTGCACAATTCCTGCCGCACAGAGTGTCCATTGCTTCTTCCGGCATTCTCCAGCACAGCCTCACAGAAAGCCCATTGCTTCTTCCGGCACCTGCCAGGACAGCCTCACAGAAAGCCCACATGAGAACCTGCCAAGACAGCCTCACAGAAAGCCCACGCCAGACAGGGACAGACTCACAGAAAGCCGACATGCAGTGCTGCTTGTTTTTGCACAATTCCCGCCAGCACAGCCTCACAGAAAGTCCACTGCGTCTTCCGGCACCTGCCAGGACAGCCTTACAGAACGTCTGCATAAGAATCCAACCGCGCAGCCTCACCGAAATCTTAATCCAAAGAGGGGGGCCCACATGCTGTGCTGCTTTCGATCCTGCCTGGGCCCCGCTGAAAGTAACGGCTTCCGTCGGTGATGTCCAAGCCCCCGCGGGGATGCCTAGAAGACTTTAGAACTAAACCCTAAAATGCTTGAACTCAGGGTGGTCTTGGGGTGGGCTGTCTGCTACGCACAGGTGCGAGCGGCCTGGGTGTGCACACACCAGCGAGCACCCATGACGTTACCACACCCTACACCCTAAACCCTACACCCTAAACCCTAAACCCTAAACCCTACACCCTAAACCCTAAACCCTACACCCTAAACCCTAAACCCTAAACCCTAAACCCTACACCCTAAACCCTACACCCTAAACCCTAAACCCTAAACCCTAAACCCTAAACCCTAAACCCTACACCCTAAACCCTAAACCCTAAACCCTACACCCTAAACCCTAAACCCTACACCCTACACCCTAAACCCTACTGTAGCATCTAAGGCACCGGTTCTGGGGGATTAGAGACCTGGACAGGTCCCATCACCACGGAACCCTTGGTAGCCCAGGCCATACACTTCGTGAAGCTTGATATGGGAGTTTCCGAAAATAAGGGATCCTTATATAGTACCCAAAATAGTAGGATCCTTATTATAAGGACCCCCAAATATGGTACCCCCTAATTTCGGAAACTCCCATATCAGTTTATATCCCCGGCATCAATCAACTTTCATGGAGCAGCGGGCTGATGAATAGCAGTATCGGAAGCATCCGTGCATGGTTTAGGAAATCATTCCTTGGAATAGCTGTTCCAGTCCTATGCTGCGCAGACCGAAGGTAGAACCCCGAAACTCTAAACCCAAAGCAGAACGATATGTGATGGAGTGATTCCAGGTCTGTCGTTCGAAGCCATACTTACGTGTGCTCGGTGCCAAACAGCCTATGATGTCATCATCCTTTTAGTCTTCTCATGCGCAGAGCTCCGACACCCTAAATTTTAAACACTGAACCCTAAGCTTATCCGGGTCCATATATTAAGGATCCCTCTTCTCCCTTGTGGTCTTGCGCAGCCCAGCAAGGAAGCGGAAGATTGCCGACTTAGAGAACTTGGGGCGGAGCGGTGGCGTTCCCTGCCTGCAGTTTCGCATGCTTCGGGCTTTCGTTGTTGGTGCGATTTGGGCTTTGAACCCTGGGCCCTACAACCAAGCCCTAAGCCAAGAATCCCTAAACCTCCTTACACTCAACCCTAAGCTCATAGGCTACTCCGACGGCTTGCTTTAGGCTTCGACCTGTGATCTTTTGAGGCATGTCACAACTCGTTATTCGGATCAAATGCGAGGCTCAGGGTGGAGGGTTTGGGGCCAGGGAATTTCAGGTTCCGGGTTTGAAGTTTGGAGTGTATGGTTTGGGGTCTGGGGTTTAGTGCCTTGGCCTGTTGCACCATGACTAGGAATTAAGCCTTGGAGAACCTTGGTTATCTGAAAGCTTTGGTGTATATGGCTCAGGAGACTCTGCGTTCATCCGTTACCCATCTTTCCAGAAGTTGACAGTGTATTGCGATACTACTACTTTGTAACTACTTCTTTTTCGCATGAAGTTCACAGCACAATCATGGGAGTTGCGGAAAATGAAAGAGGGACCGTCCAGAGAACCCCAAGAGCCCCCTTGCCCCCACATGTGCCTTTCCTAACAGTCTGCTTTTCTACACCCTAGAAAAGCCTATGCTAGTTCTTGGCCAATTAGATGAGAGCTGAACTCCAACATGGTGCAGTAACTTATTATCATATACTCTCCAAAATCCTAACCTACAAAACTACTATCCTATCCTAAAACCGAGTACCTAATTATTGGGTCCTTTGGACCCTTGGGGGTAACCAGCCTCGATCTTCGGCCGCACAGACATCCGTTTGCTGAGGTCTATGTCCCTCCATTCAAGCGCCTTCGGCGGCACAGAGCTCTTATGACTTACCTTTGGTTAGTAGGGAATGGAAGAATGGTAGTAATAGTAGTTATAATTGTACCCCATTCCTCCATTCCCTACTAACCAAAGGTAAGATGATACCAGTGGAGGGAATGGGGGTTTTAGGGTTTAGGGGAAGCCGTGAAAGCCCAAACCTGTGGGACCACCGGCTTTCATAGCCCGAACAGGGTTTAGGGTTTAGGGTTTAGGGTTTAGGGTGTTCGGCTTGCTTGTTGATCTTGTCCTTCGAAAGGTAGGTCGGCTTTTTCGGAAGCGTTCAGCAGCGCAGCAGCAGCGCTAAATCCCAAACCCTCAACCCTACACCCCAAACTCCAGACCCCAAATCGCTTGTTGGAAAGCGTCGGCAGACCGAAAAAGGAGCGAATCCAAAACAGAATATATCCAAATCCGGCTACCCCCCAACCCCAAAGCAGAACTTCAGCCTCAAATCCTAACAAAAACAAACAAACCCAAACCCGAAGCAGACATTCAGCAACTCTCCCGACGGCTCCATGCACCCTTGTAGTAGATACTTAAGCCTTAAAGGGGTCCCTATATAGGTACTTTAAGGCCTAAGTATATACTATAAGGGTACATGGAGCCTTATAGGGGTCTTGGGACTGAAGGTTGGCGCGCATGCAGAAGGAGGTCGAGGACAAGACCAGTCCGGAATACCAACGGCAGACCTGGGAGGTTCCCGGTTTAGGGTTTAGGGTTTAGGGTTTGCTGCAAGATTGCGTGGCGGTAGTGCAACAGGGATTGTAGGATTTATTAGCGGGTTTTGTTGCCTGCGAATTGCAGCCATGGCCCGACTATGGCGGGCCATCACATAACTCACCTACCCCACGCCGTCTGAGGCGGCAAACCACCCAAACCTATACCTTTTAGGGTTTAGGACCTAAACTCTGTTAGGTCCATGTTGGTTAACAACAACCACACAATGCTCCGAAAAGGCAGGGCAGAGTAGGGCAGAGTACGGCAGGAGGTAAGGGTTCCGGCGGGACCAAGGGGCCAGGGGGCGTCAGGGGGGGTCAGGGGGAAGAGCGCAAAAAGAGCCCAAGTCCTTGGAGGCCCCTAGGTCCTGGAACTTTGCTCGCTGGAGCTTCCAAGCCACCCCCGGGAGGTCCCTGGCCAAACCAGCCCAGCGCCCACATAATTTCGGTAGCTCGGGCTCGTGCTGGTCCGAACAAACGTGTCCCGGTAGCGGGCCTAACGTGGGTGCTCCGCCCACCATCGAAGGTGGGCGGCCTCGGCATTGAGTTTAGGGTTTCGGGACCGTTCCTTTTTCGAGGGTTACTTCCAGGGTGCTGCCGGGGTTTGGGGCTTTATAGGCTTAGGGTGTTAGGGGGTTTTGGGTGAAGGTTGCCCTTTTGGGCGCCAGAAGGGGTTTCAAATAAGCTGGTTTCATGATATTTTAAGCAGATCAAGGTTTTGGGGAGGGGACTTCGATTCGATTTCGGGCCCAGCTTCGCAAGGTTTGGGGTTTTTGGAGCTCAGGGTAGTTTATAGGGCTTCGGCCTTTAGCGACAAGGGTGTCGGTGTTGAGGGCGTAGCCCTTTCACTGTTTTCTCGGGTATCGGGCTAGGTGAGTGTTACAAGGCTGTAGGTACTATAGGGATTTACTAATCTTTTATATGTGGTAGCTTAAACTAAGTCCTTGACAAGAACCCAGCTTCAGAACGAGAAGGGAAGTCAAAATGCAGAACTTGGAATCGTGTTGACTCCTGCAGCTTTGCAACGCGTCCGCAGAGTCAAGTCCGCGAACGCTCCAAACCTAATCAGATAACAGTTTTCTGCACCACCAACTCGGAAGTTCGTACAAAATATAGATGCCACTGACTACGCCGTCTCTGAACCCGACAGGCTTTGAGGAAGAGTATCAACGGTCTCGTGAACAAAGTCAACGCCCCTCTGCCGGCAAGCTCGTAAGGGCTTGGGGTTGGCGGCCTCAATAGTGCGAACAAGGTTTTTGGCGTCTCTTGAACTTGCACTGTAGGTGTACGGCGACCATAATGATGGAACACTATGAACCAGATTGAATAGTACTGTAAGTGGACGGGGACTATATGGCAAGGGTTCAAGGTTTACTATAGGGGCCGTAATAGTTACCTATACCGGTTTGGGGGTTCCTGAGTATAATTGCACTATACTGGGCCGCAAAACCCTATTCTGATTATTAAGGCCCCTAAACCCTAAATAATGATATGATTGAAAAATCACTCAGATGCCTGTAGATCTCGGTCGCCGAGCTGATGCAGACTTCATGGGCGGCTTTCCCCCAAACCCTAAACCGTACATACCGGGGTCCCGAACAGGAGATCCCTCTTCTTCATTCCCATAGGGCCGAGTTCAGGGCTTTCAGGGTAGACTTTAACCTACCAAAACCCACTTTTTTGTAGGGCCCCTATAAATTCCATATTGGGGTTTATAATAAAAACCTACAAAAAGGTAGGGTTTGGTGGTTTAAGGGAGGGTTTAAGAGTTTCAGGGTTCAGGGGTTAGGGCTTGCGGCTTAAAGGGTTTAGGGACTCGGTAGGGATCTTGGATTTGGGGTTCACGGCCCAGGGATTTATTGTTTAGGTGCGTTTAATTTTGAGGCGCGGGCTTCGAACACGACCAGTTGTGTTCGACGGTCGTCTATATGGTTGCTGCAATCGGATTGTGAAATGGTTCTTTAAGGGCAACAGGGCTCAAAAGTCAGGTGTTGTCCGTGTAGTTGTGCAAAGCTGAAGCGAGCCTGCGCCGGCCGGTTCCTGAACGAAGTACTGATGTACTACCGGAGCCTAAATGAATACCAGCAATCCGAGTCAAAATCCTATTCTACGCATTAAACCGCCTACATGATTTGTGCCATCATGAGTTTCGATTTTCTTCATATGGCGGTACTCGGGCAGGCTAGCACTGTGTAGCTCGAGCGCCAGTGACTCAACCCAAGAAGCTAGGTCTTAACCCTAAACCCTAAACCGATCTGCAGACGCGAAAAGGGGCCTTAACATGTACAGATCTCCCCTAAACCCAAGTTGTTTGGATGCCTGAGGTGGGAAATATCAAAAACATAGTGGAGGCCAGTCTTGCAGCGGGATCAGGGTTCTGAGATTCCCGCGCAAGGAGTGAGTGGGATACCGTGTGTATCGTTGCCATTGGGCTTCAACGGACGATCCAGCTTTGTCATACGAGTCATACGAGTGCAGGGCACAAATCTTAAACAGGCTCCTTGACTTGGGCTCATCAGCCTGATGAGGTTGGGCTTCGCGAGACTTTCTGCTGCAGGTTCGAAGCCTCTTGCTCCTTTACGAAACCCCCGAGTCAAACCCAAGGAGCCCCAATTCCAAAAATTCCTACGCCCCTGAATCCTTAAACCCAAAACACCCGAATCAAAAGCATCAAATCCCAAACCTCTAAAAAGACAGCGCGGTGCCAGTTACAACCCCTGCACCCTAAAAGAGCTCAATACAAAACCCCGAGCTTCTAGCCGTAGCCTGCAGGAACTCTTCCAGGAGAACCTGGTAAGGGGACGGGGTCTGCTGGTGCGCAGAGAGCTCAGTACGGCTCATGTGGGAGTTTCCGAAAATAGGGGACCCTAATATAGTACCCTAAATAGTAGGATCCTTATTATAAGGAACCCAAAATAGGGTACCCCTAATTTTCGGAAACTCCCATGTGGCGTCCAGCCACGGGCTTCTAGGAGGAGGGTGTAACGTAGGAACCTGATCAAGAAACCTTGGGCCTTTATTAGGTTATTAGGGTTCCTTTTACGAATCTTATTATTTTGGGGTTATAGGTCCAGGGCTTCTTCATCAGGTTCCTATCGTAGCGTCTAGGGCGTTTAGGGATGAAGGCTAGAGGCTTAACCCGAAATCCTAAGCCTTTATAAACCCTGTAAGCGGTTTGGGTTCGGTTAGGGTATAAACTCTATGGCCACATGAGCGGTGTGTGTTCGGTTTAGGGTGTGATGCGCAGTGTCGTGAAAGCATGTTGCAGCCCACTTTGACTTGGGCGAATACAGGCTCAAGTCTTTTGCCACCGTGGGGCTTTGCAGTTTGGTTCAGGGTTCACAGGGTCTGAGGAGTCCTCCAGCAAGACCTAGTAGAGGGTACGCTGCTTTGGGGGGGTATGTTGGCATGTGGGTACTGTGGCAGGTTGCGACTCATATCATTCCGCCATTTAATACTGGTACAATATACCCCCAAAGCCCATCTTGATAATTAACGCTCCCCTAAACCCTCCTGGTTCACGACCGGCCGACCTGTTCTCAGGCGCTCTGATTCGAGCGCAAATGGCATCACCGGGATTTACCCACGCCTCTTGACTGCATTGCGAAGTGTGACGCCGGGTTTTCCTGATTTTCCTGGTGGCCCTAGTCAAAGGGACACGATATCTTAGGGCTCTTCGGTGGCACAACAGAGGGTGATGCGTGTTCAAAATCGCAGAAGATATGATCTTCGAATAAAGATCTCTCAAAGGGGAAAAGGAGGGACCCTTAATGAGGACCCCCAGGTATAGACCCTTAATATAGCCATTATATACCCAGTATAGCCCATTATAGGGTAGGGGTCCCCATTAAGGGTCTTTTCCCCTTTGAATCTCGGGTTAGCCGGTCCTTCAGTCGGCTTCTTGGCAGCAACTCTGTGCCCCTAAACCCTCAAGCCCCAAACTTCCAAAGCCCTGCAGCTGTACCCTAAACCCCGAAGCCTCAAACTCAAACCAGAAATCCCGAAGTTCCTTAGAAACTGTAGCAGGTCTTTGCCGCTCTGCTTGCCGTGATCAACTCGAAGCTGTCTTGTGCCCAGCATGGAGGAGTGTGGGTTACGGGTTTCGGGCGATGTATACCCCCACCAATCAGTAGGGAAGTACCTTGAAAGACTCCCTAAACGGCGTATGTAGGCGCGGTTCCGGGCTCCTTTGGGTTGGAGGTGCCGAGAAGTCGCATGGCAGCTGTGGGGGTTTGCAGGCGTGTAAGGCGTAAGGTCGCAGGGCGCAAGGTGGTTTTAGGGGGTTTAGGTCCTTGCCTGGAGTTCTCTGTGCGTCTCTGCCGTAGGCTTCTTATGCTTGAGTTGCTCGGCAGTGCCGCAACAACAGAACGAGCCTCCAGCTGAGAAGAAGCAGTTTTCGAGTTCAGGGTGTGGTGTACCCAAACCCGAAGACAAATTCCAGTGAAACACAGCATCGCAGACTTCATCACCTCCTCAGCCCCAACGCTGCACCAAGCCCAAGACCACAATCCAACTCTCTTGAACAGTCGACGGCAAATTGTATAAGCCCTAAACTTTACAGTAGAAGCCAGAAAGTTGGAATATCATTATCGTAACCCCTTTCAAGGTAAATTATAGGGGATCCTACCATTAATCCATATTCCAACTTTCTGGAGTTCCCTTTAAACTTTAAGACGCAGAATCTGCTAACCTCGCTTCACGAGGCCCGAAGTGGGAGATCTCCTGATCCGGCGGGTCATTCTGCAGTTTAGACGTGCCTACAAGAGGACCGGAGGAGTTGAATTGTTATTTGGGCTGGATGACAGGGAAATATAGAAGCCTATAGTTCTCTATACTATTCCTGATGGCTCCTTATAATGATACTACGTGGACTGGGGCCGCCCCAGTATCCTATTCTAATAATGAAAGGCCCCTGCAGTAGTTTGTGCGCGGCATAATCTCTACTCTGCGAGGACCTCGGGGTCTTTGGGCGCTGGAGGGTCCTTGCGAGAGCCAGCTTCAAAATCATGCGATCTCAGTGCACTTCGTCAGAGCCTGAACACGTGCTCGCAACTGATGGCAATTGCACTTGCCGGCTGTTGGTTTGCGTGTTTACGTGCTAAGGAAGCCTTTCAGAAAGATCCCACATAAAATATTGCGGATGAACCAAGCCCTGACCCCGCCTGAACCCCATCACGATCACCCCAGAACCCTGAATTCAGGACCCTGAACCGCAAGTCCTAGATCTAAACTTGCGCACCCCTAGCCGCTAGCCAAGGCTCCAGCTCAAGCTAGTCTTGATCTGATCCGCCTGGAAACCACTGAACCCTAAACTTAGGAGTTCTCGAAGTACTAAATTAGTCAAGTTAGAGTTCCTTTTATTGTCCTTCATGCAGGGGTGAGAGACTCTGTTGAAGATCCAAAATCGACCCTCTTTAGAGAACCATCCGTTTATCCGCTTCGGGTGTGTTTCGACCCTCTGCTGACAGGAATGACAAGATTGTGACCACGGCAGCAATCCGGTTCATGGCCCACTTAGTGAATCAGAAGGCGCCCTTGCGTAGGCTGCGTATGCACATTGATTGGGCACTTTCTGAAGGGGTTTCGGCTTGCGGGGCTTGCGGGCGCCTGATGCAGCAGTGTTCAGTCAGGTGACTGCATGTTCAGTGACCGACTAGCTCAGTAATTCATTAGAGGCGGCTCGATATTGCTCCTCAGAAATATCCGAAGGCGATCCAAATCCCAAAGCGATTTGGCAATCGTGTGTTCTTCACAGCTGTCGGTTTTGAGGAAAAGGATTGCTGAGATCGCAGGAGGAATGCAGAGAGAGACAGAAAGAGAGAGAGAGAGAGAGAGAGACAAGCCCGTTGCAGACCCTTGTAAGACTTGTATTCCAGTTTCGCAGTTCGTCTGCGCAATATACTGCCGCACATGGCTTCACAAAGCCTTATAACCCTGCCTTCTGCAAGCTCCGACCGAAAGAGTCATAGCGGGCGACGCTCCAGACCACGAAGCCAGGCCACTTCCTGCCAAGCTTCCAGCATGAACTTAAGGACATGCTCAAGCTGATCTTTACTCTTCTCCCGTACCAAAACCCTAAACCCTAAACCCTAACCCGCAAATTCAGAAAGTCTTCAGCCCTCGATCACAAAATCTGTCGCAGATAGCGTCGGAGCTCCTCGCGCTGCACGTGGCGACGCTGCTGCTGGTGCGCCGTGCATTGCGTTTGTTGGCCGTGAGCCCTGTGCACCCATGTGCACCCTAAGAGTTGCATCTTGATGGGGGACGGGGCCCTTGAAGGGAATATATAAGGGTCGGAATGCTGAGGAAGGCTGCTATGTATTCTACCCTTGCTCGCTGTTAGTAATCACTTGTTTGTTTTGGGGCTTGTTTGGTGACGTTGTTTTTTTCAACGCTCAAGTCCTTGTTCACACGAGCTTGAGCTGGACCGACGCCAGTGAAAAGTGCAGGCGAAGGAGGGGAAGACCCCCGAAACCTGATGTGTGAGGCTCGAAGGCCACAGATCACGAACCCCTAGTAGGGTTTAGGGGTTCAGGGTTGAAGGGGCCTAGAACTCTACAGCGTCCCCCAAGTGCCCTCTAAGGAGGTTTCATCATCCTCTGCATGTGCCAGGTTCTTGGGATGTTACAGTAGAGGGCAGTTGGGTGGTACCCTGAAGCCTTAAAGCCGAATCCAAACAACCTAAGCCCGGAACGCAATCTTCTGATGGGTGGCAGGAGCGAGTGACGGAAGACTCCATTGAAGTCTGCGTCAGCTTCCTTCAGGACCTCAGTCTGTGTTTCTCCGCAATTTTGGCGGGGGCTGCTCGTACCGGGTTGAGGTTCCTGATGCAAACCCAGAGCCTCTGAATCCTATGCTGTTTTACAAAGAACCGAGCCTCTGAAGGGGACCTTGTCAGACCTGAAAGTTGTAGAATCTGGGAGCAAGCTTTGGGAGCAAGTATCTAGGAGGAGCAGTCAGTCTTACCGTGCAAAGCTTCGTCCATGTCAGGTTGCGATAATGCTTGTCAAATCCTGAACCATGAAGCGTGATTTGCGTGTTGCTTCTCTTCGACGGGCAAAGACAAGACTCTTTCCTACAGCCTGCAACCGTCACACTACAAGGTCTCTCCTAAATGCAGGGGCCTAAATAAGAACCAATACTATTTTGGAGGTTCCTTACTATAATTATATATAGTATAATTGGCCCCAAAACCCTGTTCTAATTATTAAGGCCCCTATATTATGGGATTTAGGCTTCGGGGTTTTTTGCGACTCTCCGAGTCTGACTAAGAGAGGCTCGACAGATATTGGCTGTTGCTTCTGTGAGCCTCCTACTTTAAACAATCTACTGTAAGTTACAGGGCCTTTTGCATGAGGTATGAGGTATACATTACCCGGACACTAAATCCATATAATCCCAGGTTTCAGAGGGGTTTGGGAATCACCGGAGTTCCAAGGATTTACCGCGGCGAAAGATTCGCAGACCCAAGGCAAGGCCTAGCGTAGCTCCCCGTGCAGAAAGCCTGAAGCTCCCAAGCGAAAGAACTTGCACCGAAAGCCTTGAATCCTTGGTTCAAGGTTTGCCTAGAGTCTCCATTGTAGCTCCTTTTCTGGTTTAACCAAATTATATTAAGGATCCTAAAAGGTAAACCCAAGAAGGAACTGCAACGGAGACTGCAGGTAGCAAAAACCACGAAAAGCAAAGCAAATAGCACATCCAATAATCTCCCAGCACCCGACCTTCCACCCACCCTGGATTTTTTAGCTTCAGCCGCTCTTTGCAGGAAGTGGGGCAAGCAATGGAGGAGCTATCCAAGGCACAAACTCTCACCCAAGCTGATCTTGAACGTGGGGCTGCTGTTTTGGATCCATGCGGCTTACAGGAGCAGGGGATTAGACATTGGGGCACTTGGACTACATGTTTTGGGTTGGGTCATCCGCAGGGTTTTGGGTCTTGGGTGATGTTGTGTTTGGCGGTTTTGAGGTGTGCGGGGTAAGGATTTCTCCTTTGTGTTTGGTCCCAGGGTTCCCTGCTGCAGAATGCGTGGCATTTAGCAGTTCCGGGTTGTAGGGCTTGCAGGGCTTTGGGGAGCCGCCCTAAGTGCTATCATAGCCCAAATGCCCATTGCTAAGGAGTGAGGGCTGCAATTAAGGCTAAGGGCTCTGGGTCCGGTACTTTGCCAATAAAAGCACCTTTGCCAAACCGCATCATGCCTGTATCAAGCCCTCCTTAGGCTAAGCTCAAAGGGTAAAGGGAGGGACCCTTAATAAGGACACATAGGTATAATATAGTTATTATATACCCATGATATAGCGCATTATAGGGTAGGGGTCCCCATTAAGGGTCCCTCCTTTTCCCCTTTCACAAGCCCAATTGTCTGATAACACCGACAATCGTTTCAGGCTGGATGTCAGGCTATCTTCGAGCGGTCCCCTCCTGAGTTGCGGGTAGATGCTTCGCGAACGTGGGTTGTGGCATGTCTTCGTCTTTTCATGCTACCTTTAATTATGTCAGGCTTCCAGGTTCCAGCTCGAACTTAGAGAAGTACTTGGCATGCGCGTGATTGGAGCTTGGAGTTTTGAGGGTTCTTTACGGGATACAGGCTTGTTGTTGCAGTTGTTGAGGAGTTTTGAGCTTTAGTGGGCGTTTTGCAGGCAGGCATACCTCTCAAGTGTGGACCTTGTGAGCTTGTGTTCATTTGGCGATTCGCGGATGACAACTATGATTACGGAGCAAGAGCTTACTAGCCTGCTTGAAGCTGCAAGTTCAGTTCGACAGGAGTAGAGATGAAGTGAGATCATCGGCTTCGGTATCCAAGCTGTGCGCTTCCCTCTACAATATACATGAGGAGGTGTGTGCATGTATAAACATATATATATATATATGTATATGTATATAGATATACACACACACACGCAATATTTAGCATGCATGCATCCGCGTAGGTGTGTGTGTATATATATATACACACACGCACATGTATCGGATGCCGCCCGGAGGTTCCGAACCATCCTGCACGAAGGCGAGATCGACAAGTGCTGTGCTCAGAGCATGATTGAAGTCTTGATTTGGTCGCCCGTGTTCAACGATGGGATCCCGTGCTGGATCTCTTAATGTGAAAGATCCCTTTAGCTTCTGGGATGTAGCGTTGCGGGTATGGCCAGGTTTCGCTGGGATTGAGGCAGCTGCAACAGCTGCGAAGAGATCTGAACCCCTCCGTGCATAAGGCGTGTGCAGTACGTCATCGAGGGCCTGTATGAAACACGGAGGAAGAGGTTCTCAGATCACCCGATGGCTGCTTGGCGAATAGCCCGAAGTTTCCGGGTTCAGGGCTCAGGGCTTCGATTCCCAGGCCGATCTTGTCTTAGGGATACTTAGAAGTAATTTGTGATTATTGGTTATTATAATCCAAAAGAAAGAGCTGAAATTGTAATTTTTGCTAGGGTTCTAAGTTCAGTATAGCTGTGCTCAATGGACACATAGTTTCAGGCTTTTGGGCCATTGTGCTCCTGAACTTCTACCTAACCCTCCCCCCCTTCACCCTGTATACAAAAAACCCCAAACCTCAAATCCATAAACCTCTTCTAGGTTCTGGAAGAGCTCGACCTCGTCGAAGACGAAGACCAGATCACGCACGAGGTTGGCAGCATTTCTGGAGGATATGGGGCATGCAGGGTTTGGGATTTAGTGATTTTAGGATTCGGATTTAGGGTTTAGGCTCCAGAATTTAGGGTTTAGGCACGCATGATCAGCTCACGGGAAATATTTGCTAGTTAGCGGCTATGGAGGGTTCAATGGGTTAGGACTTAGCAGTTTGATTTTGCGGCAGGATTCGCGGTTGAAGGATCTCGTGAGATCATACTGCCATAAGTCAACAAGACTGCGACTCTAGTAGAGGAGAACAGTGAACTGCCACATTTTTCCAACTTGCTGTAGTTTGCCCTGAACCCTAAACCCTAACTCTGGCTTGAGCTGCGAAGGTTGCCGGGGCTCACCCTGAACCCCAAGACCTCAACCCGAACAGCTAAACCCTGAACCCTGAACCATCTTAAACCCTTGAACCCTTAAAGCCTCAGGCCTTAAACCCCCTAAGCCCTCAAACCCCAAACCCTCAAACCCTAAACCCTGAGCCCCAAACATCGGGTCTGCCGGATGTTGGGAGGCCGGAGTCTTAGGGCTTTTCAGCTCAAGCCTCATCTTAACGGAACCCTATGGTCCTTGGCGGTAGCTACGCCGGCGTCAACTAGGGGCTCCTTCTTCGGGGTTTAGGGGATGTGGGGAAGACCGGCGAGTGAGGAGTCTATGTGATGTGTGTTTGTCAGACGTATGGCCGATCTGACATGCAATATCACACTATAGACCGCCCTCGAACCCGGCACCCTGCATCGCAGGCGCCCAACTGCTTGTAATTGCCTTACAACATGACATCCGAAAATAGGGGATCCTAACATAGTAGCCTAAATCGTAGGATCCTTATTATAAGGCCCCCAAAATACACTCTCAAGCCCAGGGTGGTTGGTCCACCAACGTGAAGCCCACCAGGATGAGATCTCCCCTCAAGACCCAACCTCCTGCGACAGGTGGACCTCCTGGATGAGACGATCAAGGGCGAGGAGACCCTGAACATCTTCAAGGCGGCTTGTGATGTTGTTGTTCGCTTCTAGAGGTTGGTCTTATTTCAGAGCCTACCATCGCCCGAAGGGACTCAAGTATCCCTAGAGTAGAATGTGTAGGGTTTCTACAGTCAGTATGAAGTCTGATTATGATTTGGGAAGTATCCCCCATGATAGTATCTGGAACCCTTTGGGTCGACCTCTTAGAACAAAACCGTATGGCGGTGCTTAGAGCCTTGGTGCTCTTAAGGCCCGGCACTCTGTGAAGGAAGTGAGTTTCGAGTTTAGGGGTTTAAGGTTTAAGGGTTTAGGGTTTAGGCTGATCCACCATTAAACCCTATATAGCCCTAAAACCCGATGAACACTAAACCCTATAAAAACCTAAACGATGGTGCCTCACTCGTATTGCATCGCGCGTGTAGAAGGGCCCAAAATGCCTAGACTTTGTGCCTTTGGCCAACCTTCGCAACCAGGAAACGTCTGGGAACACGGTCACTTACTATTCTCACTATGACTACACCTGTTTTCTAGATATCATTATGCCGGTTTTTGTTCTGAATCTTGTGATGATGGTTTGTCAATGTTATCATTGTTTTCATTATGTTAACTACGACTACTACCACTTGCTACCATTATTACCAAGATGAAATGGACTGCTCTTGTGTTTCTTCTCGGGCCGCGAAACCTTCAAAGCCTGGATCCTAATCTAAAGAGCTGATGGGCCGCAAGCCGATGAAATCACAGCTCCCTGATATCCGAAGCCTAAACGCCTCCCCTGCAACACGTCAGAGATTCCGGACTCTTCTTCCCGAACTTCCAAGGCCATTCCACCCGAGCAGTATGCTGCGGATGAGGCGGACGGATGATTCGGTATGACTTCAGCGTCTCTCCTAAACCCTGAGCCTTCACCCTAAGCCCTGAACCCAACCCCCTTCCTAAGGCTGTGATGCTCCATGCAGACCGAAGGAGATTGGTACATCCGCAGAGATTTGCAGGAACAGCCGAGTCTTTTTATCATCTAGTAGTCGCCAAGACCCTACACTGCTCTACAACGGCAGTCCTGGAACTATGTCGCAAGTCGAAACTCTTTCAGTCCTGTTGTAGCGGAGTTGTTCTGAACTTACACAAGACTAACCTAACATAATGTGATATAATCTAACATCAGCACCGACGAAGGGTGACAGTTTGCATCACCTTGACACTAGTCATCCGCAGCGCAGAGTGAGGCCAGCTGCATCGGCAGTTGCATGCAAGTCTCGTGGACGAGCTGTCAAGCGTGAGCCACGCGAGAACTATCGAGACGGTTGGTATGGCCCATTGCCGCGACCTCTTCTATCAGGTGCGCGATGGCCTCACACTTTACGCGAGGGATTATCCCGGTCCGGTGCCCACAGCTCCGGTTGCATTACTCATGCATGGTCTGACCCGGAACAGTGCCGACTTCGAGGCACTTGCTCCGGTCCTTGCCAAGACCCACCGGGTGCTTGTGGTGGATCAGCGTGGTCGTGGGCGTTCCGATCGTGATCTTGATATCAGCCGGTACCATGTTTCCAGCTATGTGGGAGATATGTTCGAACTGCTCGCTCAGCAGGCTATCACCCAGGTTGCTGCGGTTGGCACATCGATGGGTGGTCTCATGGCGATGGTGATGAACGTCAAGAGTCCCAACATCTTCAGCCACGTTGTCATCAACGATATTGGCCCAGTGGTGGCGACCGCGGGACTTGCCCGCATCAAGAGCTATGTGGGTGCGGGTTCTCGCTTCTCAAATTGGGACGAGGCTGCAGCTCACATCAAGGTCCTCAATGAAACGGCGTTTCCAGCCAACACACCGGAAGACTGGATGGCCTTTGCGCGGCGGACTTGTGTTGAAGAGGGGGATGCAGTGGTACTCAACTACGACTTGGCCATCGGTGAGGCGATGAAGCAGCGTGAAGAGGCTGCGGTTCCCCAGGATCTCTGGCCGGCTTTTGAGGCATTGAAGCCCAAACGCACGATGCTGGTACGTGGGGGCATATCAGACTTGCTCGATATGCCCACTGCAGTGGAGATGCGGCGGCGACACCCGGAGATGGAGTTCCTTGAGGTACCGAACATTGGTCACGCGCCCATGCTTGATGAGCAGGGCGTCGCGGAGCGCATCGCTGACTTCATCAACGATCGCTCATCCAGACTCTCTCAGCTGTAGAACTTGGTAAAAAAGGCGAGGGACAGGAGGGTGAACCACACAGCAGGTCCTCCAAACGAAGCTCACGGAGCACTGTTTGCAGGAGTGCCGACTGTTGAGGAGGTCCCTCAACCCTAACTTAACCTCCCAGAACCGACTTTAAACAGTTTCTCATAATGAGGCTTTTCGTATGCTAAGGTAAGCCTTAAGGCCCACGCGGCAGCGCCAAGAACCGACTCCCTGTCGTAATCAAGAGACCCCCGGAGGGAGACCGCTGCGCTCAGGTCTGGATAGCAGTCTGGATTGAATCTTCAGGTGTTCTTCACGGGTTGAGGGTTCAGGGTTGAGAATTTAGGGTGGTTTGGAGTTTAGGGTTTAGGGGTTGAGGGTTTATAGGGGCTTTTGGTTTGTTGAAATTTCCAACATCTATGAGAAGCTTCACCAGGCTTGGGCTGTGGGTTCACGGAAGTGATCAGCCAGTTTGCTAAGAGGCGCTTTGGGGCTCGTCAGGGTAGTTCGCAAACCCAAGGCCTTATCAAGCCTCGCTGCAGAATCTGGAGCTTCACACGGCTTTGGGTGGTCCGAGGTTTTCAATTCAAACAAGTTGAGAGCCTTAACCCAGCATAACGCTTACCTTGCTGTAGACATGAGGAATACCCGTATGCTCGGACCTTAAGGTACATCTACAGCAGCCCCTTCGAGGGCAAAGTATGTACTGTGTGGGTACATGGACCCGTATAGGGAAATACTATAGGTACTATGAGACCTCTTTGCACGGTGTTTCTGGGGGTTCGACGTCCCAGAGTGCAATGCTGAATAGTGGGCCTGATAAGTAGCATCGATTTCGGGGTGTATCCTACTCAGAGCAAGTGTGTTGGGAACTCAAAGGAACACTGCGGCCCCAACATGCCCAAATCCCTTAAAATCCAGGCCTCTATGCCTGAAGCTCTAAGATCCTCGCCCCCAAACTCTACAGCCCTAAACTCGTAAACCCCTACTCCGAAAATCCACGACCATAAACAGAAACGCCAAAGTCTAAACCTCGAACTATTTGCAACCCAGAGTCCCCCCAACCCTACTAAAGCCCCAAGACCCCTACACCCTCGAATCAGTGAACTAAACCCCTAAGGCAAAAGCCAGAAAGTTGGAATATGATTATCCTAACCCCTTTATAAGGTAAATTATAGGGGATCCTACCATTAATCCATATTCCAACTTTCTGGAGTTCCCTTTAAGCCTTTAAAACCTTAAACCTCCAAGCCCGAAGCCCTGAATCCTGAAGGCCAAGTGGAAGCTTATCTCCAGCGAGATTCTGGGCCTTGAACAGGCCTTGCATGTCATTGGGAGATAGATCTAGAGCTTAGTAGTTCTTTGGGACTGAAGTGTTTCGGGTTGAGGGCTTTTGCATCCAGAATTTGGGGCTTTTAGTTTGCCAGTTTACGGGGTTTGTGTTTTCGGAGTCTGGTATTTTCGAGGCTCAGGGTGATGAGATTCTGCGGACACGCTAAACCCTGAACCCTAAACCCTGGAACCCTCCCTCGTGCAGACGCAAAAGAGCCCTCAACAAAAAAACAAACTTGAAACAAAACCTTTTGAAGCAGCTAGGCAAAGCTTCGGCCACATCGGGCTTCTGCATGTTGTGTTTGAGGTCCCTAGGAGAACGTAGGTTGACCAAAAAAGCAGGTCCCAACGCAGACGTCACAAGAGCGCTACGATAAGAAATCAGATTTAGGTGTTTGATTTCGCATCTTGCCCTCTCTCATTGATTGCCCCCTCCGTGTCCAAAAGGCAACGAGGCCTGTTGTTCATTCATACGGTGTTGAGCCGCTCTTGTCGGTGGGGCCGAGAGAATTGGAGACGCAGAAGAGAACAGGGCTTCAAAACACAGATTTAAAACTGCATCGCAAGAAAATTAGCTTCAGTACATTTGAGAAGCCGCAATGCAAGCTTTCCCTAAACCCTAGGCCCTAAACCCTAAAGGCTTCTTGTTTTCATAGTGCTCTGCTGATACTTTCTTCAGATTTTGTCTCTGCGTCGTGAGTTCAAGGCTGCAAAGCCTCAAAGCTGCGTAAAGAAGCAGCCAAAGCCCAGACTCTAGGTCGAAACACCCTATCGTAATGTGTCCATGTCGTCCCCACATTATGTGTATATACATATATGCATATACATATATGTATATATACACATTCATGTACACGCTAAAATACCCCCCAAACCCTATTCAGTTCAGCCACTGAGGTCCCCGAAAGTGCCCCAATGCCAGAACATGACAGGATGAGGGCAGCGACAGCAGCGACGATTCGGATGAGGAGGCGGACGCCGCTGCAGATCGTCGTGCGCAGGCCACCCTTCATTCCCCGGATTTTCGCGAAGATTGTGGCTTCGGTTTGAGGTTTCGTGTTCGGGGTTTAGTGCCTGAGGGTTTGGGATTTAGGGTTTGGGGAGGTGCGTCTACATGTGTATGGGGGTTGTGGTGTACAAGTAGGCTCTAGGGTCACACACCTTTACACTTCCGGTTCTTGCAGATTTAACGTCGCCTACGTGTACATACTGTGCGCATGCAAACGAGTGACAGGTAAACGAGTGAGCTTGTTTCGGAGTTCAGGGCATGGGTTTCGGTTCGCTCTCCACGCTCATTGCATTTCAATGATGAATAAGATTGACGCTTTCGCCATCCTCCATTGATCAGTGGTGACAGTCCTTTAGGCTTTGCTTGTTCCTGCCTCCAACTTCTACATCATCTCTTGTACCCAAATCCCAAACCCCAAGCCTTACCAAGGGCTCTCCGACCCCCTGGTTTTTCGGAAAGAGGCCTTTAAAAAGATTTAAGTAATGCAAGCCGAATCATGCTACATCCTACCTGCACCTTCCGGCTTCCAGGCTATGCCCTGAACCCAACCTTTGTTACTCTTTTGCAGCCCTTGTGCAAAATCTTGGGGAACCGGTTAAACTCTCATAGAAAGCGCTTTCTGTCCAGAATAGAATATACTACAGCATAACACAATGCATTGTACAAAAAACCGAGTGTAATATCATAACATTGTATTTATATTACATAATATAGTATACTGCAGTGACACACATTTTCGTTCAGGAGAAGATTCTGGACTTCACGGAACAAGATTTGGTGAACTTGCGCAGGCAAGGCCTGCATAAGCCCGGAAGCAAGCCGAAAGTCCAAACCGTTAGCACGAAAGGTTTAGGGCTTGGGGGTTTAGGGGTTGAAGGGTTTAGGGTTTACGGGTTTAGGGGTTTAGGCGGTTTAGGGTTTAAGGGTTTAGGGGTTGAGGGTTTAGGGCCCAACCCAACTCTAAGCAGAATCTTAGGAGGACCAGCACCGGAATCTTTGGCTTTGGGATTCTGAGACTTCGTGCACAGACCCACTTCCGCTTCAGGACTTCTTCTCTGCAATTGGGGTACCTTATTTTGGAGTCCTTATAACAAGGCTCCTACTATTTAGGGTACTATATTATGAGGTCCCCTATTTTCGGAACTCACTCTGGTGGCTTCTGTGCATCTTTTGTGATAGCGGACTTCCTGGGTGTTGAAGGCCAAACACTGACCATGTCGACTCCAGTCCGAAATTGCCCCGAAGGAAAAGGTAAGAGCAAGCACTAGCCATTTTACAATTTTGATTTTGCCGACCCTGTATACTTAGACTCAGACAGTATTCTAAGCATTAAAGCCCCCAGCGTAATTATCGGGTGACTGGACTCTTGCACCCCATCCTATGAGGGGATGAGGCCTTGGCAAGTAAAGGAAGGCAGGGTTTCAGCTAAGCAGGTCCATCTACCTCGTGATCATGTCTTCGGTGCACTACGAGGCACGGACACAGAACGCGCAAGAAAACCCCAGCAGCCCTGAGCCCTTCATTCGAATCCCTTCCGACGTCTGCTTTCCCTGCAAGTCCTGCCTCTTTGCAAGCCTGCGGCTACATGACCTTGAATCCGGCAAACTCGTCCACTAAGAAACAAACCCTAGACCCTCAACTCACTCCCCAAGCAACAAACCCTAAACCGGGAACTCGCCCTCTCAGCAATACACCCGCCGCTTACGCTCTACACACACCTCAAGAAACGAACCCGAGCCCTAGACTTTAACCCTGAACTCTAAGCTTGCCCCTTAAGAAAGAAACCCCTAAGCAACTGCGGCCTAGGAGTGCGTGCACAAGATCCTGAAGCTCAACATTGCGGAGGGTCAGGAGAAGGAGGTCGGATCTGGGATGAGGGGTTTACTAGGTAGGGCTTTGGGACATTTTATATTTTCCCTTATTGGGCTTAAGAGGATCTTATTTACTAATATTAGCTTTAAAAGCACCGCCTAGTTTAGGGCTGAGGTTCAATTCGGTTTGGGTTTCGATCAGGTTCAAGCACGGTCTAGGTTTGGGGTTTAATTACTGAACTGGGGTTAAGCTTCAGTAAGGCTTTAGGTCGAGGGTTGAATTAACTAGTTTATGGTTCAATTAGGGTCTAGGGTTCGGGGTTTAGGTTTCGGGAGGACAGTCCGGCTCCTTGGTCTAGAGGATTGGGGTGCATTGACAACCTCCAACGGCCCTGGCGATCCAAAATCAAGCTCGAAATCAGATGCTCACCCGAAACCCGGAACCCTAAACCCTGGCCCAACAGATTGCAGAGTGCCGGCAGGCTTGCCAAGGGAGAGTGTTTGGAGTGGGGAGGATCGTCTACCTACAGCTTGGCTCTATGCTTTATCTATAGTCACTATGCCCTGGCGCAGATGCCCTAACAGTGATAGAGCTCCACGACGAGCACGACGACTGCGACGACCACGACCACCAGCAGCACCACCACCACATGGTGTGTACCACATCGTTCGGAGAACAACAGTAATTACACACTCACTCCGTTGGTTATTGCAATCACCGCTCGTGTGCGTGATTTCGTTATGTTACATTGCTGCTACTATCTGTTTCGCTCTATCGTTGTGTTTGAAAGCCTTTCATTGATTCGGTGGGTGCCGTGTTTTCCAGTACTTACCTTGGTTGCTTGTCACGGTTCAAGTATCGGCACCTGATTACATGCTCCAGAGCGTGCGTTTCGCCTTGGGTTGTCTATGAGACAGCTTCAAAATCGCAAAAATGTTATATAACATTGAGAGAGATGGGCATGGCAGAATTATTCGTAGTCTCGTACTTATACGTGCAATAGTGATATAGCTAGTCTTTACTCTGTGGTCAACTACGGGTCAGGAGTTTGCATGCTTGGCATGCGGCTCCATTTCCAGCACATTTGGCTTTGGGTTTCATTGGATCTTGCTCAAGGGCGCCGGATTTCGGGTGATGTCAGATTGCTGTTTCGGATCTCTTGTCTTACGCGGCAAATTGGGATTTCGGGATCTTGACCCGTAGTGTTCAGTGATTGGACTTCCTAGATGCACCAGGGACTCTGTGATGAGGCTTGTAGTGCATGCGGCGCTTTCACTTTGCATTGCTGGGTCTCAGGCTTGTTGGAAGCCTGCCTTTGTGCTGTGCTGTTTCTCCGGCGGGGGGTGGGAGAGGTGGGGGGGAAACCTGACATCGGTAACCACAGCAAGGACTTGCAAGTCTCTGACCTGCAGCAATCATTCAATTTGAGAAAGCGTGCTGATCCTGCCAGGTGTGCACCATGCTCATTGACTGCTGTGCCATGGAGAAGATGTTCAACAGGCAATGCCCATTACGATTGTATGCCGAACGGCGCTTTATGACCAGGGCTTGGCAGTATGGCCGCAAAAAAAGCCCTGTATGATGCCCTTTGATGGCTGTTTACACACTAAACTAAACCAAGCCCGCGTAAGCCTACTCTATGTCGTCAACATGCACAGTGCCCTCACACCCTAAACCCTGAGCCCTCTTCGAGAGATTCCGCTGCGAGGACAAGGATGCCCAAGTCTTCGAGTCTTTGAATGGAAAGCAGTCCAGAAACGGTTTAGGGTGCAGGGGTAGGGAAGTGAAGTGTAGGAGCAGCAAAGCTGAAATCCGCATAGGATACATAGGGGTCTTTGTAAGGTGTAGTTCTCCATCATACCGCAAGTTTTTGCAAGGCAGCTAGGAGGGCATGCTCCTGCGAGATCAAACTGCCTCTTTCAAATCGCACGATTGTGCTGAAAGTGTTTGAATGCCTGCTGTTGATGCAGCTTGACTATGCGCAGGATGCGATCAGGGTTACTGGGTGGTCTTCGTTAAGTTGGGCTTGAGAAGAGGAACTCGGGTCGTTTGGATTTTCCTTGTCTTTACTCTGAGATGCTTTTCTTTCGTGCAGGTCTCCTAATTTTTGACATTTCCCCCGTGGTTTCCTCCACTCATTTGGCGAGCCCAAGCCACACGCCCGGGTCTTGTGCAGGTTCTTCGTCCTCCAGGTTCGCATGGGTAGGAGGGGGGCCGGGAAAGGAGATGTAGGAGCAGGGGGGAAGAGGTCGACGAGGGTTCTTCCTATAGGTGCATTGCCTTAATAGCTAGATCTGAACAGGGTTTGGGATATGTTAAAGTATGGTCATCTACAGGGATACTACTATTCAACTGAGTAAAAACTCCTACCTTTACACTAACTGCCAAGATGGAGCTTCGAGGTTCATTGGTAGTAATTAGTGGGGGTGGAAGTCCCCTAATGTGGCTTTTAATTATGTAAAGTTACCCTACCCATGAACCTCCAAGTACTGCGCTTTGTTTGCTAGCCTTGCCATGAATCGCAGCGATGTGGAGATTCGGACTGCTTTTTGGGGGCTTAGCGCTTAGGGTGCATGTGATTTGCCAGCTTACCTGCTCAGCCCTAGACTACTTAGACGACCTTCGTTCATCCAGCGGCATTGGCTCTGCGGTGTTACACGACACAGCGATGAGGAGGGCCAAGAACGTGACGGCAGCGGCCATGGCTGCTACTGCCAGAAGTGCTGCTGTCAGGGCTTTGTTTTGTTGATGACTTGTGTCATGCATATAAGGTGACCATACCGGCCTGACGAGTAAAACGAGCGCTTGCGGTACATCTATACTATGATCCGGGCTTTAGGAGACTGTTATCGTGCGGCTGTTGCTGCTTGTCTGGTCATGCATTTTGTTGTTTCTTGCGTGGTGTTTACCCTTCTGCTTATGGAATTTCGGTGGCTTTTTATGATTCTAAACTTCGGTGGATGTGGATAAGTCCTAAACTCTGAACCAACGTCGGACGGGGTTTGGATATAGGGTCTGCAGGGGCCCATTCGATCCTTCTCACGTGTTTTGGGAGGCAGAACGCTTGTGCCGCCTGAACCCGGTGTATCAGGACTTGGCCCTGCGCGCAAAGCTCTAACCACGTGGATTGGTACTATGACTTCTGCTAATTGCTGCTGCTGGTGCTTGGCTTACTACCACCACCACCACGATGACGGCTACTGTACTGCTGGCACTGCTACTGCAACTGCACTCCAACTGCCACTGCGGCCTCTTCTGCTATTGCCACTGCGACGACTATACTCCTGCTCAGTTTCAAAGGTCAAGTGTGGAGTTCGTGGCTTGGTTGCTTTGGCCTCAATTTGTTCGATAACTTTTATCCTTGAGGTGCGATGAGGGCTTCGAGTGCAAAGACCGGTCGTGATGCAAAGTAGACACGGGTTTCTGAGGCTGTCAGGTCGTAACTGCCCCTAAAATCCTGACGAAGCCTTGTGTCAGAGTCCAGTGACGGTTTACCACGCCTCTCGTTGCGCACCTTGGGGCCAAAGCTCTGAAAACTAGTTTCCGTAGCCATGGCAGGACACTTTCACCGAGTCCTTCGGCATCCAGTTCAACACGGTGCACAGGACCCTCGCATGCAGAATGCTTACTTTTGTGAGCCTTCTCAAAACTAGCAACATCATTCTAAATAGATCATGGACTTCCGCTTTCGTGAGGATGCTGTACTCAAGCTTAGGAACCTAAGAGGGTTCCTCGGAGGGAAGGAGGGCAAATTGGGGGATGCGCATACGCTCTTTCAACCTCGAGCCAGCAGAATACGTGAATCTACAGGAAGTATAGCACCAAAACAAGAACTGTGCGGGACCCCGACCAGCTTGCCCTTCAGCCACTGAGTTGGGCTTGGGGCTTGCGGATTTAGCTGGTTGTGTAGCATAGAAGCTTTGGGCGTTCTTTGGAGTTAGGTCGAGGTTTAGGGTTTCGGGTTGATGTGGGTTGAGATTTTGCACGTTGGCTTCGGGACTGGCCCCAGACCAAATACCAGGCTGGAGACCAACAAACTGCGCAACATCGGAAAGTTCTTCGCGCATCTGCTGTACACGGACTGCAACCCTGAGAAGTGGGCTCCATAACTTCAGGCCTTGTGGGCTTTATTTCGGAGTTTCGGGTTTGAGCGTTGGGCTTCAGGTGCTTTGAGTTTTGGGACTCGGGGCTGCTAGCTGGCGAGATTGCGATGCAATCCATTGTCCAAAAAAGATTGGGAATCTTGTTCCTGAGGATCACGCCACCTTCATGCAAAGCGGATAGCTCACACAAGGAGCCATAGACAATGCAAGAGTACCTCTACTCTACATGTTATAAGCTCCCAAATCAGCATCCCGCCTCTATGGCCTCTATGATGGGGTGACGAGCTTCCGAGTAGTACCAGGACGTTCAGGCCGGAGTCGTTTTGGCTTTGAGGTCTAGGGTTTCATCGAGGTGCAGCGGTTCAACGTTCAGGCTCCATGGGGTTTAGGCTTTGGTGCAATTCATCATGGCAGAATGGGCCGGCAGCCGTCCTGACCTTACTGCTCTAGCGACGCGGAGAGGACGCTATCCCATGGAGCATTTGGGCGCAGGTGGGCGCTTTTGGGCGAGATTTCTTTGAGAGTTCGAAGCCCTGACTCCCAAGAATGTCTCTATGCCTTAAGTTGTATAACTGTCCAAACCCCAAGCCGCAGCCTTGCATGGATGGGAAGTTATCGTGCTGAGTCGCGACTTCTTGAAGTCAAAGATGCACTGGTTGTTCGCGGACAGGGGCGTACTTCACCCGAGTTGAAGGGTTGTTTTTAGCGCTTCGGGTGTAGCGACAGCTCGGTTTGACGGAACACTGGCTCCCAACGGCCATAGCTTCAGCATCCAACCATCCAGCACGGCGGCCATGATGCGCTCTTTGCTGACAGCCAGGTGAAGATTACGGAGGACACAACGACATCGAGTTCCCGTATCTTCATCAAGGTGCGCAACACTGCAAAGGCTTCAGGATTTTGGATTTCCGGCTTGCGGGAAGCTCTGTGTTTGGTGGTTTGAGGGTGTTGGTCAGGGCATCGGCTGCGGGTGCTGCACAGGAGATTTTTCAGACGTCAAGTCTGGCACTTGGAGTCGGGGACATTGCAGTTACTCATGAGCTACCAAAACCTTCTTGTTTGCGGGGTCCCGGTGAGTTCTAGATTTGGACACATATGGGCTTTTCTTCAGAACCTGCAAAGAATGGGTTATGGTAGCTCAAGCTGTCGCACCCATCTCCCTCACCCGAACTGCCACCCTAAACCCTGAACCCTACAGACGCCAAAGCCCACAGAAGCCCGCTGGAGACTCTTAAATCCCACTCGCCGAAGCTTCACAACACCCAACCCAAAAGCCTGAAACCCTACAGATCCTAAACCTTTAACATAGGGGCCTTAGTAGTTTCCAATACTATGTTTTTTTTTTTTTTTTGCGGGGGGGTCCTTATTATAACTGCAGTATAGATTACCTCCAAGCCGTGTTCTAATTGCGCATTAAGGCCCCTATTATATGCTATAGCTCCAACAACCCAATTGTCCAAACCCAAAACGGCCCAGGTGATATTCCAAGAGCTCTCCGAGCAGCCCCGGCCCTAGCAGTCTTGTCTTGAGAGTCTTGGTGTTTTCCCCGTGGTTTTGAGTTTAGGGTTTCAGGTTTTCACCCTAAACCCCTGAACCCTCGGGTTGGGGGTTCATGGGTAGATATAAGTGGACTTATAAGTAGGGTAAGTATGATTATAACCCATATTGGGGGACTTATATCCCGCTCATAACGACCCATGAACCTCCAAGTAGAGTCTTACTCTGGAAGGTTTACCTTGCAGCCCAATGGGTATTTGGGTAGTAAGTAAACTCTCGGAGCCGTTGAGTACCCTAAACCCCTGAACCTCCGAATCCTAAACCCCCGACCCCTAAATCATAAGTCTAAATCCGAAAGCAGGTGGGGTATCAAGAAGCTTGTGGATCGCCTGAGCGAGGATGAGCTGAAGCCTTTCTTCACCGGCCTCTTCCCGAAGGAACGGGTCAGAGCTTCGGGTTGCAGGTTCACGGTTCCGAATTTTGGGTGCAGAGTCGAGTTTAGGGTTGTATGTACATGGGTGGGTTGTCAAAAATTGTGGGCCCCTTTTTGGGTACCCTGTATAATAGGTGCCGTACTATAATAAGGACCCCAAAAGGGACTCTAATTTTGACAACCGCCCACATCTTAGGGTTTAGTGTTTTAAGGTTTAGGGTTGATTTTTGGGTTTAAAGTTTCGGGCTCAGGGTTGTGTTTTCGGTTAAGGGTTTTCGAGTTCAATACTTCAGGGGTTCAGGGTCCCTCGTTGAGCTGCGCGGGAGACTGTCTCAAGGGTCCTTGGGCTAAGTACGATTCGGATGCAAGGGCTGCGAGGTTCAGGCCTTAACGTGTCTGTTTCGGTTGAGTTTGGTATTTTTTAAAGAGTGTGTGGGATTAGTGTTCTGGGTCAAGGTGTTTTGGGTTTGGGGTTTAGTTTAGGGACCTCCGAAACTTTGTAACTGTATAGACTGTGTACCACTCCGGAGACCCCACACGTGAAGTCCCAAAACGCCTGGGCCGAAAACATCCCAAAATCCCAAGCAGACATCGGTCTCTGAAGCCGGTCGAGACGAAGAAGCCAAGATTCATAGGCCCCGAGCTTCAAACCCGATACACCCTCAGCAGAAGCCCATAGACGAAGGACCATCCGAAGAATGTGCGCTTTGCCATCAACTACTTCACGGCCATCGGCTTGGGCGTTCTGACAGAGGTGCAGCAGGGGTTGCTGGGCCGCTTGGTTTGGGGTTCAGGATATAGGTTTATGAGTTTAGGATTTAGGGTTAGGGCTTAGGCTTCTTAGGCTTTACGGTTTCGGCTTTTCGAAACCAGGAATTCGTTGCAGAGCGGTGTCGCAACCCCTTAGCCCAAACCCCAAGCAAAATTTAGTAAATACCTTTCCCTGGTTCTTCATTTTTCAGAGAAAACTATTCCGTGCAAAACCATATTCTTGCCATTAAGGCCCAGAAACTGAGCCCTTGTAATAACCCTTAACCCTATTCGAAGACCTAGTCCTTCGAATGAACCACCTAACTACCTAACTCTAAACCCTCACCCCGAAACCTTAAGCCCTGGACCCCAAACTAACCCCTCAGCCCAAAACCCCAGCTCCTGAATCCACTTAACATAATGCCAATAACCCTTGTAAAGAAATCCTTTACAGACCAACTCCTAAACCCTGAACTTAACAGAGTCGAAGCCAGGAACTGCGCAGTTTCCTGGAGGAGGCGAATGCCCGTGCGGCCCACGAAGCACAGCGGGTCCGGCTCTCGCGGGGGGGGGGGGGGGGTTTTCTGTCAGCCCGACATGCAGACATGTTCACATATACAAAAAGCGTGCAGCTGCGTCGCGACGGTCAATCACAGTTCATTCCCTCTGGTCTGCGTAATGCGGACTAGCAAATTCCCTTGACACTAAAGACAGTTTGGTTGTCAACATGACATGTTTAGGATTTTCGCGATGCATGTATGTGGTAGTGAGAGTGAGTCAAAGAAGAAGGACCCACAAAACTTTTGGCCTAAAATCCAAACCCTAACTGAAGCTTGACGGCCATGATACAGTAGAAGCCAGAAAGTTGGAACATCATTATCCTCGTGCAGCTACGAAAAAGTTAGCGAAAAAGTATAGGGGATCCTAGCACCCATCTTGTTAAACCCATCTTCCAATTTTCTGGGATTCACTAAAATACTTCTCTGCAGACGACTGAGGCAGCTGAGGAGCAGGCACTAGATGCAGCGTGGCAGCAACGTCGATATGTATAGGGGCTTTCTAGTTTCCTATACTCTTGGGGGGGGTCCTTATGTTATGGTATAATGGGCCCCCAAACCCTTTTTCCAATTATTAAGGCCCCTATGATAATTCTCCGAATGGGGGCTTTAGATGCTGCAAAGGTTTTTTGGAATAGGATGGTGTTACAAGGTGTTTCAAACGGCTGAATATCGGGGTCGCCTTTGGGGATCCCAATGTTGAGGATAGTATTGACTAAAAACGACAATTTCCCAGTAGGGATTGGTCTTCAAGCTGGAAAGCTTGCGGGGGGGAGGGTTGCCGGACTCCACCGTCAACCCCCCGAATGCCAGCCCCGGAACCATCCTTTCCCTGAGCCCTTAACCCACAGACCGTTGTGAGTTGTGATGCCCTAAATCCTAGACTTCACCAGACAGAGCCCAGACAAACTGCAGGAATACTGACATTCTGCGTCCTGAAACCCTGAGGGTTTAGGGTTTCAGGCATCAGCCACGCATCAACACCACGACCTGGATTAAGGGGTTAGAAACTCGGGGTGCCAAGGCTGCCCGTCATCTCAACTGCCGCACCCTAATTCAATCCTGCAAGAGTCCAATCGCCTTAGACCCTCTGACCTTGTTGGATTCACGGTTTGAGGTAACCGGCAACAGGCTGTTGCCCTAAACGGTAAGCCCCAACGACAAGTAGATCGTACCAGGATTCAGTACAGCACAGAGGTCAGCTTGCCGGTGACAAGCCTTGGGAGGGTCACATCCTCGAGCAACCAAACGAACTCGATGCTCACTGCATTGGATCGGGGGGGCGGGGTCGAGCCATGGGGTGATTCCTGGATTGCTGTTTAGTAACCAGGAGTTTTGCCATAGGGTGTAGTGCGACATGCCAGTTTCTGTGCCCAGGAAGCCTCACAAATATGATATGCTGAAGTACGAGATGCTAAGAGAATCGTATAATCATAACCCCCCAAACCCCGCGGAGACAAGGGCCGAGGGGGTCTAGTATAAGCTTTCAAACAAAATATTGACCCCTCAAAGCCCTAAGGCCCTAAGCCCTACACCCACAAACCCCAACCCCCTAAACCCCCAACCCCCCAAAGCCCTAACCCCTAAACCCTGAAAGCCCACCCCCTAAACCCTTAAACCCTCCAAACCCCTAAACCCTCAAAAACCCCAGAACCTTCAAACCCCCTTAAACCCAGGAGGAGTCTTCGTCCTCGAGTTCCAGCTCCTCTGACTCAAGCTCGGACTCCGATTCGGATGCATGGATCTCAGAAAAGAGGGTTTAAGGCTACGGAGCTTTGGGGTTTAGGGTTTAGGGCTTAGGGTGTAGGATTTAGAGTTTAAGGCTTAGGGTTTAAGGTTTGGGCTTGGGGTGGGTTTCAGGTTGTGCCGGATTAACTTTCTGGAGGGTCGTGGAAGGGTCCTTGTCCTCAGGATTTTATCAAGGCTTCAGACGGGAATGGTACGGGCTAAGGAATTTCTGACTCGGTGTGACTGAAGCCTGGGCCACTGAGATCGCATGTGAAACAGTGCTTTTCTCCCAGATCTACTTATCTAGCCGGCATTAATTGGGGCTTTGAAGCGAACTTCAGTCAAGAACTGAGAAGTTCCGCTTGTAGGGCCGGCTAACACTGGCGCCTCAACATTTAGTATAGTATAGTATAGTTGGTACGGTCAAGCTTCCTCCGAAAACCAGAGAACCTCGGTAGCAACACCACCCCGAGAGTTCAGGGCAAGATATGTGGCATTCTGGCCTTGGCATCAGCAGCGCAAGACCTTTTTCGGAACCATCCAGCCCAAAACCCCAAAACGCCCCTTGCAACCGCACAATCTGAAGCTGCCTCCACGCCCAACTGACCGAGGGCAGCTACTGAAAACGTGGGAATGAGGCTTGCAGCTGCTTTTGTAACGGGTACAAGGGAATTACAGTTACAGCAGGCGCCTGAATATTTACAAGTTACTGATCCCTGGTGTTTCCTTCTTGTTTACAGTCAACACTAACCCCTCTGTTGTGATATAAGAAGGCCCCTTGTATTCCCGGCACCTGTTAGGCTTTGCTTGGAGTTGTATGAACAGCTAAACGAGTAACACAATCCTAAACCCCATAAGCCCGAAACCAGCCTAGCCCCTATAAAGCTTAAGCCGAAGCCAAAACTAAACCCTGACAGCAAAAGCGACACCCTAAGCTTCTGAGACCCAAACACAAATCGGAAAGCAGCAGCCCTGAACCTTTCAGTCTCCAATAAGGACTCCGACGACTCGGACTCGGACAGCTCAGATTCGTCCGACTCCTCTGACTCCTAAATGCCCAGAGACTGCGGGGAAAATGCCATGAAGGGTTTAGGGTTTGCGGTTCGAGACTTATAGGGCTAAGGTATGTGCTGCATGACGGATAGCTGTCTTGAGGGAATGGGGTTTGAGGCAGGGTTTGGGGATCTTTTGCTTCCAGTTTTAGGCTTTGGGGTGTTTTTTCCGTAACCTTGCAGGGACTTTGGCCAAGGTTTACGATTGGATTGTCGGACGCATCTGGATACAAATCCTCCGAGCCACAGACTTCCTATGTCAAGAACTAGGTAGGGCTTTGGGACATTTTATATTTTCTCTTATTGGGCTTAAGAGGATCTTATTTACTAATATTTTTCAAATGCTTTAGAAGACCCACCTAGAGAATCCTCTTTCACTTGGCCGGAGACCGGGGCTTAGGGCTCAAAAACAGTACACATAATGTTTTGCTTTTGTTTTCGACGTTCTCGACACCCAGGTCACAGCATGAACAGATTGCCATCCTACCTTTGAGTTTTGAGCGTCAGCCGGTTGATTTTCGGGCGCAAATAGGCAGGTTCAGAGTCACGGCAGGCCGCAAATCCAAGCGCCTCTGCAACACTTGGTGTAAGCCCCTCAAGCCTAAACCCGAAGCCCGAAGCTCTGATATGGGAGCTTCCGAAAATTAGGGGTACCTTGTTTTGGAGTCCTTGTAATAAGGATCCTACTATTACGGGTAGTGCATTAGGGTCCCCTATTTTCGGAAACTCCCATATTGAGTGCACTTCTATACGCCCTGGCCAAAGGCGCAGTTTTCAAGACTAGATCTCAGAACCCTCTGATTTTGAAAGACACCGGGCGTAGGTTCCGTCTTCCACAACCCTGAACTCACCATGCCGCAGCAAACCTAAAACCCTTCAACTATACTCTAATACAATATAATGCTTTAGTGTACGATACTACATACGATGCTACTACTATTATATACAATATTGTATACTGTACTGGGCTATACTATACTTTGCCATACTAGAACAATCAAGTATTCTCCTATACTGAGCACCAGCCAGCCTAGAAAGGCATCCCGTGAACACTGTCAGCCCAACCCCCTAAGATCTCTGCTTCAACTGAAATCCTGGACCCCTGAACCCTAAACCCTCAAGCTTGAGCTGGACTGAGCCAAAAACGATCGTTGACCTGAACGAACACCTCAAATTGGATCCTATGACCATACTGAGCCAGCAAACCATGTAAGTTCCACAACTTGAGGTGCCTCACACTCGTTTAGAGCCTTCAAAGCCTTGCAACAGCCTTTATGTCGGCCTTCGAAACAAGCGGCTTTCCCGGAACCCTGCAGCCATTGAGCTTCAACCTCATCGGCTCGGAAGACGCAGGCAGGCGATAGACTGCGTTGCTTATCGTTTGTTATTGTTCTGTTTGTTGTTTTGGTGTGTTGGTAGTGTTTATGGGTTGGCTTGTAATGACTTGATAATATATTGGCAAATACACATGTCTCATTCTCATTACATCAAGAAGGAGGACTCCGTTTTGTTCCATAGAAACCCCCCAGATGCAGTTGTTTTTTCAACGGGGTTGCTGGTGAGCGTACAAATGGCTCCAGCGCAATTCTGATGAGTGATTGCTTGAGGTGGTGTTGCCCTGAACGACAGAACTAGAACCTTTACCTCTCTCGGCTGGGGTTCAATGCAGGAATTGGGAGTTTCCGAAAATAGGGGACTCTAATATAGTATTCTAAATAGAATAATAGAAGAATCCTTATTATACGGACCCCAAAATAAGGTACCCATTATTTTTGGAAACTCCCAATTGTTGTGATTCAGGCTCAGAAGGAGAAACTGAGCGGATTGGAGCTGAGGTTAAAGCTCGCGGCTGAAGGTTCTGAGACCTTAAGCATACAGTAGGGTTTAGACTTGTCAGTTTTTGGGGGGTTTAGAGGTCAGGGTTGTGGGTTTAGGGGTTTAGGGTTTAGGGGTTGGCGTTAAGGGTTTAGGGTTTAGGGGTTAGCGTTAAGGGTTTAGGGGTTTAGGGTATCGGGTTTAGGATTGAAATAATCCTGGGTTTGGCAGATGGGGGGACGTAGTGATTTTGAAGGCAGGACTTCACACCCTAAACTCCTAAACCCAACTGAGTGCGTCTTACAGAAGCCGCAAGCATGCTTTCAGTTTCATCGCGCTAGAAGGCGATATTGACGGAACGTTGAGTCGAAGCTTGGGTTTATCGCCTTTGTCAATTCTGCCCAGGTTCGCGAACAGATTGTACCAAACCAGTGAAGAGACGGCCCTGAAAACCGTCAACTTCTACAGCCTAGATCCTGAATAACACTCCGGAAAGGTGAGAAACCCTGAACCCTGAAAGGAACCCTAAACCCTGAAAGGAGTCCTAACCCTGCATATAAAGGAACCCGAAACCCTTAACGGAATCCTAAACCCACTTCTTAAGCCCCTAGACCGTAACCTCCGAAAGGAATCCTGAAAGGTGAGGGCCATGGCACGGCCCGGGACGCTGCTGTTGTTAGCCTGTGCCGCGGACCTGGCGATCGCGGGCTGCCTCTTTGGGGCTTATTAGGCTGCTCAGGGAGTTTTGGGGTCTCAGGGTCATGAGGAATTGTTGCTATTTCTATCTGTCGGCGACATATTAATGGGGGTTTCCGAAAATAGGGGACCCTAATATGGTACCCTACATACCAGAATCCTTATTATAAGGACCCCCAAACAAGGTTTTCGGGAGCTCCCATATCAGCATGGGTTCAGGAGAAAGAATGGAGACTTTGAAGGGTGATCGGGACTGGGTTCGGGGTTACTGGTTTTGCCCTCCAAGGTCTGCTGCTGTCCCTGTAGCAATGGGGGTTTACGGTTGAAGGGCACAGCACAACCAGCCATGGTGTCCTGCGCATCCAAGATTCTGCAAACTGAAGCTATGTCGCTCGAAATGTTGAAGATGTTCTAAGCGATCAGACGACACAACTGCCACAATGACACCAACGTGTCTGTATGTAGATGCTATCTGCGTAGGTTCTTAGTACACTTGTGCAGTGTATGAAACCTGTGCACTAGCACCGAGTCGGAGTATCTCTGTATCCAACGATTCAGCTGACAGCGGACGAGGTACTAACCATGCACCCAAAGTTCGCAAAGACGTCCACCGAACAGGAGGTAGCCTAAAATGCTTGCCTAGGAACTACACGCCGTGAATGGTGAACCCTAGACCCAGGCCATAGTAGCTTTGTTGAAGCCGCTCGGACTATTCTTCACAGCTCCTTCACCCCCTGAACACCATAGAAAGTCAACGCCACGACATGCGTACCCTGAAATCTCGAGCCCCGAAAGAGCCATTCCTAGCGGGCCGGTTTTTTTGTTTCTGTCAGGGGCCTATAAACCCGAAAGCAGAATTTCTAGCGACCTTGCCAAACAGGAGGTTCGTGTTGGTTATCTAGGTATCCGATATGGGATAGTCTTCACTTATTGCTCATAAAGGCCCTAACTATACATAATCAATATTTGACTTTTGGAATCGACACCTACTTACGAGTTAAGGTATTGACAAAGACCTGGTTGCTTAGGCCGGCTTGTGGCTGTGCAATTTTTCCAACCTCCGCACGCCTGGAGCTGAGAGACACGTCTTTAGGGTTTGGGGTTTGGGTTGAGAGGGGTGTGTTGGTTTGGGGCTTCTGGGTGCATGTTTTCGGGGTTTGCGCTAAGGCTCGGGCTGAGGGCAGGTAGATAGTACATTCCGAGGCCCCTGAAAGGGGACCCTTCCAAACCCTACTCCTGGCTCTCTTGAAAGCGAGCTTATTGAGAGGGTCTATATATCCCCTAGGGTCTCCCTTATCCTAACGCTTCCCATGCTGTAGGGGTTGCGGTGGACTTGGGGCCACAGGTTTCGATTCGGTCTGGTGGAGATGTCGGCCAGGTTCTGTACAGCAGCTGAAGTGGCTGTGGCCTCAACCCATAACCCTAAGCCATCAGCTTCAGGCACCTACACAGCCGAGTTGTAGCCTGGAAGGTGTGTCTTAGAATCATAGAAGTTTGCGCTGCGGTGCAGTTCTTTTTTGTGGCTTCTATTAATTCTATTCAGGATCCTGTAAGGTACTCCCAATGAAGAGTAACTACAATGGATCCTGTGGGTAGGGTAGTTGCTGAGCCCCATGACACAAAAAAACCCAAAAGAGAATGAAGCTTTCTGTGCGTCCCGAAAGCTTGAAGAGTATCAACCATTCAGAAATTCAGTTCTAGGAGCATCGGGCTTATCAGTTCAGGATGGAAGACTATCAACCATTCAGAACTCCAGTTCTAGGATCATCGGGCTTATGAGTTAAGGGTCCTTCCAATCGTTTTCGCATGCTTCTGGATTGCCGGATTGAGGGCTGCAGAAGTCGCAAGATCGTCTCCCAAGCACTATGCATACTAAGCTTGAACCCCGGATTGGGGATGACAATGACAAATATTTCAAACACATGATCTAAGCTCCCGGAAAGTTTCTGTCAAGTTCCAAAGCCCTATAAAACCCAAGAAGCACCCAAAAAACACACGCGAGTTTCCAAAAAGTAGGAATACCTTATTTGGGGGTCCTGATAATGAGGATCCTACTATTGAGGGTACTATATTAGGGTCCCCTAGTTGTGGAAACTCCACACCGCAGATACAGCCCGCATGAACCCGTTCTAGGTTCCTGGCCGGCTTTACCGGACCAGCCCTCAATGGCCTTAGGCCACAAGCGGTCGAAACCTCAGAGACCGAAAGCTTTCACGGTTTAGGGGTCAGGCAGGGCTGATTGATATATATATATATATATATACATATATATATACATATATATATATATATATATACATATATATATATATATATAAGTAAGTAATAACATATACGGATGCTGGCAAATGTACGCAATGCTTCTTTGTAAGCATAGTAGGTACATATTTATAGGTTTTTCCCTTTGGGGATACTCGCAATAAGTTTCCCACGCCGTATATTTTTAATATCGACCCTTTGGGGGAGCTTGGCCATAGAAGAGAGTTGGTG